ACACTGTGACAGGCGGACCTTGTATTATAGTGTTACACTGTGACAGGCGGACCTTGTGTTATAGTGTTACACTGTGACAGGCGGACCTTGTATTATAGTGTTACACTGTGACAGGCGGACCTTGTATTATAGTGTTACACTGTGACAGGCGGACCTTGTATTATAGTGTTACACTGTGACAGGCGGACCTTGTATTATAGTGTTACACTGTGACAGGCGGACCTTGTATTATAGTGTTACACTGTGACAGGCGGACCTTGTATTATAGTGTTACACTGTGACAGGCGGACCTTGTATTATAGTGTTACACTGTGACAGGCGGACCTTGTATTATAGTGTTACACTGTGACAGGCGGACCTTGTATTATAGTGTTACACTGTGACAGGCGGACCTTGTATTATAGTGTTACACTGTGACAGGCGGACCTTGTATTATAGTGTTACACTGTGACAGGCGGACCTTGTATTATAGTGTTACACTGTGACAGGCGGACCTTGTATTATAGTGTTACACTGTGACAGGCGGACCTTGTATTATAGTGTTACACTGTGACAGGCGGACCTTGTATTATAGTGTTACACTGTGACAGGCGGACCTTGTATTATAGTGTTACACTGTGACAGGCGGACCTTGTATTATAGTGTTACACTGTGACAGGCGGACCTTGTATTATAGTGTTACACTGTGACAGGCGGACCTTGTATTATAGTGTTACACTGTGACAGGCGGACCTTGTATTATAGTGTTACACTGTGACAGGCGGACCTTGTATTATAGTGTTACACTGTGACAGGCGGACCTTGTATTATAGTGTTACACTGTGACAGGCGGACCTTGTATTATAGTGTTACACTGTGACAGGCGGACCTTGTATTATAGTGTTACACTGTGACAGGCGGACCTTGTATTATAGTGTTACACTGTGACAGGCGGACCTTGTATTATAGTGTTACACTGTGACAGGCGGACCTTGTATTATAGTGTTACACTGTGACAGGCGGACCTTGTATTATAGTGTTACACTGTGACAGGCGGACCTTGTATTATAGTGTTACACTGTGACAGGCGGACCTTGTATTATAGTGTTACACTGTGACAGGCGGACCTTGTATTATAGTGTTACACTGTGACAGGCGGACCTTGTATTATAGTGTTACACTGTGACAGGCGGACCTTGTATTATAGTGTTACACTGTGACAGGCGGACCTTGTATTATAGTGTTACACTGTGACAGGCGGACCTTGTATTATAGTGTTACACTGTGACAGGCGGACCTTGTATTATAGTGTTACACTGTGACAGGCGGACCTTGTATTATAGTGTTACACTGTGACAGGCGGACCTTGTATTATAGTGTTACACTGTGACAGGCGGACCTTGTATTATAGTGTTACACTGTGACAGGCGGACCTTGTATTATAGTGTTACACTGTGACAGGCGGACCTTGTATTATAGTGTTACACTGTGACAGGCGGACCTTGTATTATAGTGTTACACTGTGACAGGCGGACCTTGTATTATAGTGTTACACTGTGACAGGCGGACCTTGTATTATAGTGTTACACTGTGACAGGCGGACCTTGTATTATAGTGTTACACTGTGACAGGCGGACCTTGTATTATAGTGTTACACTGTGACAGGCGGACCTTGTATTATAGTGTTACACTGTGACAGGCGGACCTTGTATTATAGTGTTACACTGTGACAGGCGGACCTTGTATTATAGTGTTACACTGTGACAGGCGGACCTTGTATTATAGTGTTACACTGTGACAGGCGGACCTTGTATTATAGTGTTACACTGTGACAGGCGGACCTTGTATTATAGTGTTACACTGTGACAGGCGGACCTTGTATTATAGTGTTACACTGTGACAGGCGGACCTTGTATTATAGTGTTACACTGTGACAGGCGGACCTTGTATTATAGTGTTACACTGTGACAGGCGGACCTTGTATTATAGTGTTACACTGTGACAGGCGGACCTTGTATTATAGTGTTACACTGTGACAGGCGGACCTTGTATTATAGTGTTACACTGTGACAGGCGGACCTTGTATTATAGTGTTACACTGTGACAGGCGGACCTTGTATTATAGTGTTACACTGTGACAGGCGGACCTTGTATTATAGTGTTACACTGTGACAGGCGGACCTTGTATTATAGTGTTACACTGTGACAGGCGGACCTTGTATTATAGTGTTACACTGTGACAGGCGGACCTTGTATTATAGTGTTACACTGTGACAGGCGGACCTTGTATTATAGTGTTACACTGTGACAGGCGGACCTTGTATTATAGTGTTACACTGTGACAGGCGGACCTTGTATTATAGTGTTACACTGTGACAGGCGGACCTTGTATTATAGTGTTACACTGTGACAGGCGGACCTTGTATTATAGTGTTACACTGTGACAGGCGGACCTTGTATTATAGTGTTACACTGTGACAGGCGGACCTTGTATTATAGTGTTACACTGTGACAGGCGGACCTTGTATTATAGTGTTACACTGTGACAGGCGGACCTTGTATTATAGTGTTACACTGTGACAGGCGGACCTTGTATTATAGTGTTACACTGTGACAGGCGGACCTTGTATTATAGTGTTACACTGTGACAGGCGGACCTTGTATTATAGTGTTACACTGTGACAGGCGGACCTTGTATTATAGTGTTACACTGTGACAGGCGGACCTTGTACTATAGTGTTACACTGTGACAGACGGACCTTGTATTATAGTGTTACACTGTGACAGGCGGACCTTGTATTATAGTGTTACACTGTGACAGGCGGACCTTGTATTATAGTGTTACACTGTGACAGGCGGACCTTGTATTATAGTGTTACACTGTGACAGGCGGACCTTGTGTTATAGTGTTACACTGTGACAGACGGACCTTGTACTATAGTGTTACACTGTGACAGACGGGCCTTGTACTATAGTGTTACACTGTGACAGGCGGACCTTGTATTATAGTGTTACACTGTGACAGGCGGACCTTGTATTATAGTGTTACACTGTGACAGGCGGACCTTGTATTATAGTGTTACACTGTGACAGGCGGACCTTGTATTATAGTGTTACACTGTGACAGGCGGACCTTGTATTATAGTGTTACACTGTGACAGGCGGACCTTGTATTATAGTGTTACACTGTGACAGGCGGACCTTGTATTATAGTGTTACACTGTGACAGGCGGACCTTGTATTATAGTGTTACACTGTGACAGGCGGCGGACCTTGTATTATAGTGTTACACTGTGACAGGCGGACCTTGTATTATAGTGTTACACTGTGACAGACGGGCCTTGTATTATAGTGTTACACTGTGACAGGCGGACCTTGTATTATAGTGTTACACTGTGACAGACGGACCTTGTATTATAGTGTTACACTGTGACAGGCGGACCTTGTATTATAGTGTTACACTGTGACAGGCGGACCTTGTATTATAGTGTTACACTGTGACAGACGGGCCTTGTATTATAGTGTTACACTGTGACAGACGCGCCTTGTATTATAGTGTTACACTGTGACAGACGGACCTTGTAGTAAAATGTGAAACTGCGACAGACGGACCCAATAATACCCCGAATAAAGTAAACAAAGTAGATAATGTTCAGTACCATATTGACTAGGAGACTTGAGTGAACGAACCCACCACTAACACAATACTGTTACATTATCAAATTATCTGCTCCATTCCTTCCTTTTATTGTAAGCAATTATTGCCAGTCTACCATTAGAAGTTTATATCAGATAAGTGTTATGTATCACGGTTCACTATCATGTTGGATAAATAATTCCGGTAAAATAGTAGTATTCCTAGTTATGTGTGTTGTTGACAACAAAAACAACTAGTATTGTGAGTAGGACAGAACAAGTTAGTGTAAACAGAAATGTTTCCGCGTGGTAAGAACAAGCTTAGCGGGGGTATAGCTGTATCGTTCTGATACACAACTCGGTAATGGGGAATCAATTTCATATTTATTTTAAACATATCGGAATACAAATAAAACGCAGACATGTCTCTGAAAATGCATGAATGCGGATGTTATTAATTCATCGTTAATAATTGAAAGTTTTTGCTATAAATCGTGTTTCCACTATTTATCACCACACAAATCAACAGACTCAAGCTTGATGAGTGTGCTGATTCGAATAAGAACAATTCAGTACAGTTTAAATTGGTGTTAATGGTGATCAATAACGCACGCGCGCGTATCTTAATGACGACTTCACTTATTACACCGAAGCACGCGCAAGGCTGGTCACATTTGAATCTGATCTCCGCACATCGACACGTGTGGTTACCACACCTTGCGTCCCGGTACCCCAAGTTCTGGCAACCAACCACCCAGTCACAAGAGGTTACCACGCTTCGTTACTCCGACAGTTCAAATCATCATACCACGCCATCAGGTTCCGTGAAATCACATAATTTCGTCGATCCGACAAGTTGTCACACTTCATTATAAATTCACGTGATATCACCAAGGTTCGGCATTCCAGGAAGTCGGGCTATGACGCTTCGCCACCAAGTCACGTGAGAGTACCACCTTTCGCCACTCCGACACGTCAAACCATAACGCTTCGCCTCCAAGCCACGTGAGATTACCACACTTTGCTACACCGTCACGTCAGGCCTTAACGCTTCGCCACCAAATCACGTGACATTACTACACTTCGCTACACCGTCACGGCAGGCCTAAACGCTTCGCCTCCAAGCCACGTGACATTACCACACTTTGCTACACCGTCACGGCAGGCCTAAACGCTTCGCCTCCAAGCCACGTGAGATTACCACACTTTGCTACCCCGTCACGTCAAACCATAACGCTTCGCCTCCTAGCCACGTGACCTTACCACACTTTGGCAGGTCAGCACGTCAGGTGATTTCACCTACACTTAACTAAATCAGTGGCTCCCGATCATCCTCACTCCCTGATTTCTGAGACTTTACCATCCTCCGGCATCCAAAACTTACAATGAGAGATTCATTGTCAGTACTACTGTTTCTGCTCCTGTGTGTGAAATTCACTTCAGGTAAGTGACAGTTGACGTTTTATGTATTTAACATAGTTTCTTAACCACAATGTAGAACAAAGCATTAAGATCGTTTAATGAGTTTAAACCACCACGCGGGAGGTCCACTGGATCTATTAATAACAAATGGGGTAAAGTTCCTGTACACAACTAGAGGACAGACCGATCCGTGATCATAGCTTCCAAAGAAAGTGCCACGGGAACGTTCGATGCTTCATCCAAACGTTTACGTAAGATTTCAGAAAGAAATGATCACATTATTTTTTTCATCGATAATTTGAAAAATCATACTTGAAATTATTACAATGTAAAAGTTTGTTCGGGTGGTAAAGACTTAACGCTTTACATTCAATACGCTCCAATGGTCAGCTCATTTTTTCAAGTTTCGAACCGAGGTAATGTATACAAAGATATTAGTTCCTTCTTTTATGGGTAGTACTAGTATTTCATCCACTATATCAGAAAATCATTACTTTTCCGGAGAGCATGTTGACTGGAACATGCCAAGCCTGGATGAAAATGAACGTTTGCGTGCTATTGAGGCTGGAACAGGGGGTCCGGGTGTGACGTCACGTCCGTCGATACGTATAACGGACATCACGTTTTTGTTATAAGTTAAGTTAAGTTAAGTTAAGTTAAGTTTATTACCAGAACAGGATATACCTATCCTCTACTCTGGTCTCAAAAAACATACAATATATATACATGATATTTCATATAATAAATATAGTATGTACAAATCAAAATAATATGTCCAGCTTTTAGTTCCGTTGAATTACTATTAAGACAGTCTATATTGATATATCAGCTCTATAATTAAAAATGATATCTTGGTTTTCCCATAACTTATCAAGCCTATTTTTGAAACAGTTCGTGTTTGAGGCAGATACAACAGTTTCTGGTAATGTGTTCCAAATGCGTGCTGCTCTCACAGAAAAGTAATTACTTCTTAGTTTAGATTTAGCTCTTTGTGGAAAAAGTTTTTTTGAGTTTACTCTAACACTGTGTTTATCGGACATGTTCTCCCATAACTTTATGCATGTACAGCACTCTTTGTCGTACACTCCGCTGATCATTTTATATATCTCGATCATGTCACCTCGCAAGCGTCTATAGGCCAAGGTAGGCAGTTTTAGTGTTTTTAATCTTTCTTCATATGATAAATTCCGTAATTCAGGTAGGCACCGCGTTGCTCTTCTTTGAACATTTTCAATAAGATCTATATATTTGTATTTGTAGGGATACCATACTGCACTTGCGTAGTCTAGCTGGGATCTAACCAGCGATTTATATAATGGAATGAATAATTTGATGTCCATAAACTGGAAAGTTCTTCTTAGCATCCCAAACATTGAGTTAGCTTTTTTCACTTTCTCACTGATATGATTTTCAAAACTCAAGTCAGACTCAAAAATAACTCCAATATCTTTCTCCTTCGATGTTGTCTGAAGTTGATTTCCATTTAGATGGTATATAGCCATATCTGTATGTGTTCCTATACGCATATGTTTGCACTTGTCCGGGTGCATTTTCAGCAGCCACTCCTCGCTCCAGTTACACATAATATGTAAGTCTTTTTGCAGTTTTGTTGAATCTCCCTCCTTAGACAAAATTTTGAATATCTTAGTGTCATCTGCAAAAAGGTACATTTCTGAGTTCACCAAGTCTGGCAGTTCATTGATGAAGATGACAAAAAGGAGTGGCCCCAAGACTGATCCCTGAGGTATACCGGAAGTAACATTTTGCCAATCTGAGACTTCTTCATTCACTGTAACCCTTTGTTGGCGACCTTGTAAAAAGTTTGAAATCCATAATATCAACTGTTTTGATAACCCATAAGAGACAAGCTTGTTGATTAGACGCAGATGAGGAACGGTATCGAAAGCCTTCTTGTAATCCATATATATGCAATCAACAGCATGGCCCTCATCAAGTGCTTCCGTCCATTTGTCTAGCACCTCCAGTAGCTGAAGAGAAGTAGATCTTCCAGTTATAAATCCGTATTGTTTCGTTGAAAAATAATCATTAATCCTCATGTGTTTTGTTATATGTTCCCTTATAATACTCTCCATAATCTTACAGATCACTGATGTCGGGCTTACAGGGCGGTAATTTCCGGCTTCGCTTTTGTCGCCCTTCTTGTAAATGGCACAAACTTTTGCTTTTTTTCCAATCTAGTGGTAGGTCCCCAGTTGATAGTGATTGGTTGAAAAGAATTGATATTGGTCTGCTTACAGAGCTCGCTGTGTTTTTTAGATATGCGGGATGTATTTCATCAAGTCCTGGTGACTTATCTGGTTTCAGCTTAGAAAGATACTCATGCACTTGCTGTTTATTGATATGGAGTGGTATCATGTCCACAGTTGTCGTTTTGTTTGGAATTCTTGGTATATCATCGTTAGTGGGTTCAGATACAAATACTTTACTGAAAAAATTGGCAAGGACATCTGCTTTCTCTTTGTCTGTTGTAACCTTTGGAGAATTTTTGTTTTCTGGTTCGCTGTATAACTCACCAATGCCAGCTTTAACTTTCGACTTTGAATTAATGTATCTCCATATAGCCTTAGGATTAGTTTTTGCTTTGGTTGCTAAAGTATGTTCAAATTCTTTCCGAAGGTTGCGAGTTCGAATTCTTACTTGGTTCCTTATCCTGTTGTAATTCTTCCGTGCTTCTGGTTCTTTACTTGTGAATGCTTTCCTTGCAAGTGAGTGTTTTTTCCTAATCAGTTCCAGCGTGGATTTATCTGCAGGGAAACTTACAGCGTTGTTACTCCCAATCCTTATAACTTTTGTAGGCACAAGTTTGTCCTCTATCTCTTTAATGTTCCTCTTGAATAATTCCCAGTTTTCATTTACACTGTTTGATTCATTTATTATCTCCTCCCAAGAAATATTGTTGATTTCCCTATTAATTTCTTGAAAATTTGCTTTATTGTAGCATTTCTTGACTTCTGATGATTGTGGTGAACTTGCACTCTACAGTAAACGACAGAACACAGTGATCACTTTTTCCGAGCGGGCTTAGGTAATCAGTGTTCGAAATGTTGGTATCTTCCTTAGTTAATATAAGATCTAATATATTAGGGTTATCGTTACCCCTCCATCTGGTAGGTTGATCAACATGTTGACAGAAGAAATTATCTTGTAGTTTTTGGATGAATTTGTATTCTTGAGTTTCAGTGCTATTGCTATGTGTATTCCATGTGTTCCAATTAATGTTCGGGTAATTAAAGTCTCCCATTATCAACATATCAGAAAAACCTTTTCTATTTGCTTCCTCTAGTAGTAGTTGTAATTTATTGTTGTTCTCCGCTGAACCAGAGTCTGACCTATATATTAGCCCTACGAGAAGTTTCTTATTTCTATTCAGCTTAACCTCTACAAAAAGATTCTCTTGAAAGTCAGTTTCCATGACCACTTCTGACGCAGATAAAAGGTTATTGATGAATAGTATCATGCCTCTTCCTATGTTGTTCCCAATATTTCTACTGAACACTTGGTACTCTAGTTTTCCTTCGACAGAAAATTCAGATACTGTCATATCCTGAAGTCTGTTCTTGGCTTTCACTTCTGTGATGCCTATAATATCCGGATTGTTATCTTTAATTCTGGAGTTAAGTTCTGTTAATTTGTTTTTTAGTTGATCAGCATTTGTATAGAAAAAACTTTAATCGTTCTTGTTGGTGAAGCTTCTGTTTCAATCTTAGTTCCTTTTTATTTTGATTACTTTCCTTGCCCATGGCGGACCTCTTACTTTGTAGACATATTCCCCCGATGAGGTGTTTCCCTGTTTTGCTTTTGCTTCTTCCCATAGCACTTTCTCTTGGTCCCTTTCTGCCTTAGTAAGGTCATTGCTAATTCTATATTTTTTTAATTCCTCGTGGTCTCCAAGTGACCTCACATTTTTGAACAGTTGTTTTTTCGCTTCAAGATTAGCTAATGTTACCAGTAAGGGCCTTATTTTTATTTTATCCCCTTCCTTGGTGAATCTCCCAAGCCTGATGCATTTTAGATTGTCCTCCTCTCTAACTTTACAGTTGCCGAGGATTTTGTTTGCAGCCTCAGAATCGTGGGATATTCTTTCCTCCCTTAAATTGGTGTCCTTTTCTTCTACTCCGTATATAACTACATTGCATTCCCTTGATTTTCTCTCGTTTATTTCCGTCATGATTGTTTGCACGCTACCCGGTTCCTTATTTTTACCTTGCTGTACACTTAATGGTTCCTTTGCTCTTTCTTCTGCAATGATTTTCCTTACTTTCTCCTCATCACATTTTATCTGCTGCACTCCTGGTTTCTTTTCTATTTCTTTAACAATGATTTTTTTCACTGTCTCCTCATCACACTTGGAAGATATTTGTTGTTCCAACCGCGAGAACCTCTCTTCATATCCCTCCGTAATGCCCTTTACCATTTCTTCAATCTTCTTAATTATATCGGTTTTGATGTTAATTTTTACATGTGGTTTGCAATTATTGCAAAACCACATTGAATCTGATTTTTGGAGAAAGGAATACTCCTTGTCTGATTTTCCCAAGCATTCAATGCAGAAATGCTCCATGCACCGCTCGCACTCGAGCATTTTGGCCTCCGTATCGGTGAATACGCCCTTGCACAGTAGGCAGAGCCATTGACTCTCCGCGCTTTCATCTTCACTATTATATGGTGATTTGAATTCTTGACTTTCCTGGCTTGCTACTATTCTTTCATCATCCTTTAGTCCCTTTCCTGACGTTTTAGTCTCTAATCTGGCACTGGGGGGTCGTTTTCTCTGTTTCTGAGGTTCGTTGCTAAGGCCGCCGCCGCCATTTTGTTTGGTCTTCTGTGAGGCCATCCTCTTAAAAATCGATTTGTGACGGGACTCTTTTATGTCAGTGTGTTAAAAGTTATTTAAGTTCTGCAAAACGGTATAAGAATGTTAACTTAACATTCCCAAATTCTAGTAACTCCTTGTTCAGCTGAAATCTTTCGTTTTTCCCGGAGCTGATAAGTCTATTGTTATCTCCGAAAATACGAAACTAAGTTATCGGTTTCAGTCCTCGTCCTTGATCACTACAAGCATTACAGGACTGTAGCAACTGAATCACAAGGGATGTCATCATGTCATTATTTCTGTACAAATAAACGCGAGGAATTTTAATTAGCAATTGACTCTCTTCGTGTATCAACGCGAAAATAAACTCCACGCGAAATAAGTCATATTACCATAATGTTGATATTGGTATAAATGTACACACCCTGCTGTATATATTACTTGGACGTATGCTATGTGATCTGCTTTTTACATCAACTTAAACGATGTCTTGCTGTTTTACTGTTTTATACTTACCAGCTAATGGTTTAATGTTATTTGAGGATACGTTAGCTATGTGTAATGTTTTGTGTGTATCTTTACTCGGTGTTTGTAGTAAGAGGAGCTTTACGGAGCCAATGTTTACTGTACACTTTAACAGTATATTGTGGAGATTTATTGGAGGTAGTTGTCCTCAACACTTCTCTGTAAGAAGAACCATTCACGTAATATTTGTTTTCATTCTAAACTTGTTTGAAGGATTTTTTGTTTGTTCAAGCCTCCCGATGGACGATTATAGTAATAACCAGTGACGAAATAGAGGCTGGCACCACAGCGAACGTGTTTGCCAGTCTCCTCGGCACACAAGGATATGCAGAAAACATATCCCTTGGGAACGGTCACGACCCGGGAAAGGTCAAGTACGTTACAAAGACTATGATAATTGGACTCCCTTTCAGCATGACAGTGTGGCACGATAACGCAGGGGTTAATCCGGATTGGCGGTTAGAACGGGTAAATATGCACGTGATCTTATCTACGTAAGTAAAACAATCCGGATTGGCGGTTAGAACGGGTAAATATGCACGTGATCTTATCTACGTAAGTAAAACAATCCGGATTTGCGGTTAGAACAGGTAAATATATCACGTGATCCTATCTACGTAAGTAAAACAATCCGGACTGGCGGTTAGAACAGGTAAATATATCACGTGATCCTATCTACGTAAGTAAAACAATCCGGACTGGCGGTTAGAACAGGTAAATATATCACGTGATCCTATCTACGTAAGTAAAACAATCCGGATTTGCGGTTAGAACAGGTAACAGCGGCCATATTGATTTTCATTTAGAATATGCTCCCTATACTGGTCAATGACATGAATGGTATTAAAACTTCACGACACTCGTAAATAAAATTAAACTTCCTTCTAAGTTTATAAGTGTTACAGCGTAACCTGAATCAGCGTTTTGTATCAAGTGTACTTTTAACTATCAATGGTTTTCAGTGTGTCTGACCTAGTGACAAGTAACAGATGGCTACATCACTTTTTTCAGATTGTCTTTATCGACCAAACAACATGGGCACAGTACATGTTTGTGTGTAAATGTTGGATAACGGCGATCAACGGGCCGCCCACCATAACTTTGAATGTCAAAGGTAGGACACTATTATCACAAACTATTATAGAGTTAAACTCTCCTATCATTAGGGATTGATCTACAAAATATTAACACGGTATCATCAGAATTTGTCACTCAAAGTTATATTTTTCTGAAACCCCTCCAATCTCTGGTTTTTAGTTTTTGTTTCAATGACAGGTGAGCGACATAACGCATAGTACATTCCACAGAAGGTTAAGATAAAAGCTTAAGCGTGGTGATTTAAATTTCACTATTACTAATTATTCATTTGTAGACAGCATCACGCCTACTTCACTAAATAACAGATTGTAGTTTGCAGTTGAATCGATATTCAATTTCAAGACATGCAGATTGATGAAGACAATGGGAAATTGAATTATCGTTATAATGATCTGATTGATGAAGACAATGGGAAATTGAATGGTCGATATAATGGTCTGATTGATGAAGACAATGGGAAATTGAATGGTCGTTATAATGGTCTGATTGATGAAGACAGTGGGAATTGAATGGTCGTTATAATGGTCTGATTGATGAAGACAATGGGAAATTGAATGGTCGTTATAATGGTCTGATTGATGAAGACAATGGGAATTGAATGGTCGTTATAATGGTCTGATTGATGAAGACAATGGGAAATTGAATGGTCGTTATAATGGTCTGATTGATGAAGACAATGGGAAATTGAATGGTCGTTATAATGATATGATTGATGAAGACGATGGGAAATTGAATGGTCGTTATAATGGTCTGATTGATGAAGACAATGGGAATTGAATGGTCGTTATAATGGTCTGATTGATGAAGACAATGGGAAATTGAATGGTCGTTATAATGGTCTGATTGATGAAGACAATGGGAATTGAATGGTCGTTATAATGGTCTGATTGATGAAGACAATGGGATTTGAATGGTCGTTATAATGGTCTGATTGATGAAGACAATGGGGAATTGATTAATTAAGAGCCAGGTCTGAAGTGCTGTAGTTATTAATGTCAATAATATTTTAAGAAGACATGTATATACATATTGTGTTGAGTTATATATATATATATTTCTTGTATTGATAAAAATATAATGCTTTCATTAAAAGGTCACCTCAGTCTCCCTCGACGACGAAAGAAAACGTTTCCTCAAATACTGACCGACAGCCATATGTTGGACATTACTATTGAAGATCCAAAAGGCAGGGCCAACATCAGCGTGTTCACAGATAACTCCACTGGATATACTGACGGTGTCAACATTACCATAGAAATAGAGGACGTGACCTTGGGTAGTGATAGGTTCATAGTCTACGTCAGACCACAGAAAATTCTTCCTGGTGAGTATTAGTGTCAGTGATAGGTTCACAGTCCAGGTCAGACCACAGAACCGTCTTCTTGGTGAGTACTAGTGTCAGTGATAGGTTCACAGTCCAGGTCAGACCACAGAACCGTCTTCTTGGTGAGTACTAGTGTCAGTGATAGGTTCACAGTCCAGGTCAGACCACAGACCCGTCTTCCTGGTGAGTACTGGTGTCAGTGATAGGTTTCAAATCCAGTTCAGACCACAGAACCGTCTTCCTGGTGAGTATTAGTGTCAGTGATAGGTTCACAGTCCAGGTCAGACCACAGAACCGTCTTCCTGGTGAGTATTAGTGTCAGTGATAGGTTCACAGTCCAGGTCAGACCACAGACCCGTCTTCCTGGTGAGTAGTAGTGTCAGTGATAGGTTCACAGTCCAGGTCAGACCACAGAACCGTCTTCCTGGTGAGTATTAGTGTCAGTGATAGGTTCACAGTCCAGGTCAGACCACAGAACCGTCTTCCTGGTGAGTACTAGTGTCAGTGATAGGCTCACAGTCCAGGTCAGACCACAGAACCGTCTTCCTGGTGAGTACTGGTGTCAGTGATAGGCTCACAGTCCAGGTCAGACCACAGAACCGTCTTCCTGGTGAGTACTGGTGTCAGTGATAGGCTCACAGTCCAGGTCAGACCACAGAACAGTCTTCCTGGTGAGTAGTAGTGTCAGTGATAGGTTCACAGTCCAGGTCAGACCACAGAACAGTCTTCCTGGTGAGTAGTAGTGTCAGTGATAGGTTCACAGTCCAGGTCAGACCACAGAACCGTCTTCCTGGTGAGTATTAGTGTCAGTGACAGGCTCAAAATCCAAGTCACACTTCTTAGTGAATACTTGTGGCATTTGCTGTGTGTAGTGTTATCATTAGGCTGTAGTGTTATCATTAGGCTGTAGTGTTATCATTAGGTTGTAGTGTTATTATTAGGTTGTAGTGTTATCGTTAGGTTGTAGTGTTATCGTTAGGTTGTAGTGTTATCATTAGACTGTAGTGTTATCATTAGGTTGTAGTGTTATTATTAGACTGTAGTGTTATCATTAGACTGTAGTGTTATCATTAGGTTGTAGTGTTATTATTAGGTTGTAGTGTTATCGTTAGGTTGTAGTGTTATCATTAGACTGTAGTGTTATCGTTAGGTTGTAGTGTTATCATTAGACTGTAGTGTTATCATTAGGTTGTAGTGTTATTATTAGGTTGTAGTGTTATCGTTAGGTTGTAGTGTTATTATTAGACTGTAGTGTTATCATTAGACTGTAGTGTTATCATTAGGTTGTAGTGTTATTATTAGGTTGTAGTGTTATCGTTAGGTTGTAGTGTTATCGTTAGGTTGTAGTGTTATCATTAGGTTGTAGTGTTATCATTAGACTGTAGTGTTATCATTAGGTTGTAGTGTTATTATTAGACTGTAGTGTTATCATTAGGCTGTAGTGTTATTATTAGGTTGTAGTGTTATCATTAGCCGATTTTCACATGTTCATGAACTTTCTACTTGGGTTTGACGACAGTTACGTACATTTTAATGTTATTAAGAAATCGTTTTCAAGCGCATATCAACATTTTAGTTCTAGAGATGAACTGTTTTGGAAGAATTCTTTGTATTTTCTGTTTTGTTTTCCAGACACGTGCCAACATACGCCATTGTGCCTGTGTTACCAGAGAAAACAACAAAACATGACAGAAGCAGGGGAGCTTCAGCGATTGGTGGATGAACTGAAAGCAGAACTAACTGTCGACAAGAAGAAAACATCAGGTAATAATGGGCAAACCAGGGCCATTCTGAGACCAGATGAAGGTCCTTGTTCATGGTTTGTCTAGAGATAGCCAGACTATAGGTGACTTGCGGTACAGACAGATAGACACTAGGCCTTACTATAGACATATAGACTAGGATGTCTTGTCTTACGGTACACAAGACTCGGCCTCACTACAGATAGACTAGAGGGTGACTTGCGGTACACAAGACTGGCATGACTTTAACAGACAGACTAGCAGGTGACTTGCGGTATACAAGACTGGGCCTCACTACTGACGGAAAAGAGGGTGACTTGCAGTACACAAACTTGGCATCACTTTAACAGACAGACAAGAGGGTGACTTGCGGTACACAAGACCGGGCCTCACTACAGATAGACTAGAGGGTGACTTGCGGTACACAAGACCGGGCCTCATTACAGATAGACTAGAGGGTGACTTGCGGTACACAAGACTGGGCCTCACTACTACAGATAGACTAGAGGGTGGAACACAAGTGGCATAACAGAGGTGTCATGTATGGTACCGCAATGCAGTGTAGAAGAGAATGATATCCGATGGTCAAGATCCGACACTAAGTATTCTTAGCCGCATGAACAAAATTCTTGAAAATGAAGGAATTCCGTTATTTCTTATTGCAGTCAACCTCCGCAAGTACATCAGTGCAGATGATAGCCGTGTGTCTTCCAAGGCGATCGGGTCTGGGGGTGCCATATTGTTAGCTGTTCCTGTGGTGCTTATTATACTCAGTGACCTGTTGAATGTTCTTAAAAAGAAGAAAAAACGACGCAGGGGAACGTATTCTTTTGCAAAAACTATAAACTCACCTTGCTATGTAGAGCCACCTGAATACATGAAGGTAGACGTGAAGGAGGATTTCTTCGCAAACAAAGACCGGTATTACCCAGAGTCGTGTTCATCGTCTGCAAACAAAGACAGACCAACGTCCTCCCTGTCTGACGAGAACGCCTCGTCTACCTGGTCCATAGTGTACACCACAAATCAAGACTGTCTCCAAACCTCGCCGTCGGACGTAACTCTAGAGGGTGAATATTCCTCATGACGTGTCAGTGTAATCGGTATTTTAACGAGAGTGATGTACAGTGAAAGTACCACATTGACGCAGGCTCTCGTAGGTAAACTGTGTCACTTTCTACATGTATCTAATGAGCGAAAAGTGATAGCAGTGACATTTTAGAAGTATAACTAGTGTCACACTGGTTTTGTTCCTACTACGGTCGTGGCATCACACCGTCATTGTGTACAATCCACGGTCACAGTGTCGTACAGTCATTGTGTACAATTCGTGGTCACAGCGTCGTACAGTTATTGTGTACAATCCGTGGTCACATTGTCGTACAGTCATTGTGTACAATTCGTGGTCACAGCATCGTAGTTATTGTCCACAGTGTAAAATTTGTGGTTACAACGCTCGCGGTTACAACATACAAACTATTCTTACAACGTATAAATTATGTTCACAGTGTAAAACTTGTGGTTACCATGTACGAACTTTACTTACAGTGTACAGCTTGTGGTTACAATGAACAAATATGCTTACAGTGCACAGCTTGTGGTTACAATGCACAAATATACTTACAGTGTACTGATCGTGCTTACAATGAACAAATATACTTACAGTGTACAGCTTGTGGTTACAATGAACAAATATACTTACAGTGCACAGCTTGTGGTTACAATATACAAATATGCTTATAGTGTACAGCTTGTGGTTACAATGCACAAATATGCTTACAGTGTATAGCTTGTGGTTACAATGAACAAATGTGCTTATAGTGTACAGCTTGTGGTTACAATGTACAAATATACTTATAGTGTACAGCTTGTGGTTACAATGCACAAATATGCTTACAGTGTACAGCTTGTGGTTACAATATACAAATATGCTTATAGTGTACAGCTTGTGGTTACAATGCACAAATATGCTTACAGTGTACAGCTTGTGGTTACAATATACAAATATGCTTATAGTGTACAGCTTGTGGTTACAATGCACAAATATGCTTACAGTGTATAGCTTGTGGTTACAATGAACAAATGTGCTTATAGTGTACAGCTTGTGGTTACAATGTACAAATATACTTATAGTGTACAGCTTGTGGTTACAATGCACAAATATGCTTACAGTGTACAGCTTGTGGTTACAATATACAAATATGCTTATAGTGCACAGCTTGTGGTTACAATGCACAAATATGCTTACAGTGTACAGCTTGTGGTTACAATTAACAAATGTGCTTATAGTGTACAGCTTGTGGTTATAATGTACAAATATGCTTATAGTGTACAGCTTGTGGTTACAACGTGCGAACTAATAGTGTACAGCTTGTGGTTACAACATACAAATATACTTACAGTGTACAGCTTGTGGTTATAATGTACAAATATGCTTACAGTGTGCAACTTGTGGTTACATTGAACAAATATGCTTATAGTGTACAGCTTGTGGTTACTATGTACAAATATACTTATAGTGTACAGCTTGTGATTACAATGTACAAATATGCTTATAGTGTACAGCTTGTGGTTACGATGTACAAATATACTTACAGTGTACAGCTTGTGGTTACAATGAACAAATATGCTTATAGTGTACAGCTTGTGGTTACAATGCGCAAATATACTTACAGTGTACAGCTTGTGGTTATAATGTACAAATATACTTACAGTGTACAGCTTGTGGTTACAATGTACAAATATGCTTACAGTGTACAGCTTGTGGTTACTATGTACAAATATACTTATAGTGTACAGCTTGTGGTTACAATGAACAAATATGTTTATAGTGTGCAACTTGTGGTTACAACTTTTAAACTATAATTACATTTTACAGTTGATGGTTACATCAGAGTTTTTTTATAGACTACAACTCTGTTTACATAATACAATATATGATAACAAAATGTAACATATTGTACGCTATTCATGCTAATGTCTTCCTCTTTCAATAATCGATTTAGATTTCAGATTGTAATTTTCTGTCAAATGCCCAGAGTGGTTTCCACACTTTAATAAAGAGAAAACTGAACATGCTATTGTTGATATTGTTTTTTTTTTCATCCTTTACGTATCCGACCAGATTCTACACTACGTTGTTAGCCATATTTTTGCAGTGGTCAGACCTCCTCTGACATTATAATTATGAGAATGTTGTGTTATCCAGATAACATTGAGTCCAATTAATTCCTTACTATAATTATAATAATTCCTTGTTTCACGATTACGTTCTCTTTGTATAGTGCACTAACAGAGACAATGCAAAGTCAGGAACCCTTTGTTTTAAAGTCCTACACTACATGTTACTTTCCAGTCTACCGGAATCGACAACTGAATTATGAGTTAAGGTCGGCTGAAGCATGCACAAAACCCTGTTTACCGGCTCTAGTCATGTAGTGTCGACAAAACACTGGTATGTCAACAGAAGCTTAAAACCAAAGACGTAAAGTCAACGCAAATAAGACCTAATCCTGGAGAGTAAGCGTCTTTTGCTTCGTCGACGACATCCGCCATGTCAATCCTGGTCACTAAAAGTAAGTAATGTCGCATTCCAGAATGAGAACAAGGTATACAACAACGGAACCAACAGGCAAACTAACGAGTATCAAACACGTCCAGCTTCATATCTCAAAAAGAAATAGATTATTTCTCAAATTATATCACTATGACGACCGTAAAACTCCCTCTAGTGTACATCAGCCTGCATCTCTAGAAATCTTGTGTTGTGAGTTGTCAGTTGCCGTAATCTGGCACGAAAATCATGATGCGGGAAACAAGCCGTTGGGTATGACGCAACTCTTAATGTAATAACGGCGCTAATGTAATAATAGTAACATTAAGCGTTGCGTCCGCTTAATGTAATAAAAATAACTTTATTACATTTAGCGTAGCCGTTGCAACGCTTATTGCAATAATTATTACATGAAGCGCCGTTATTACATTAAAAGTTGCATCAACATACCCCATTATAGTATATTATTGCTATATTGTCTTGCAATCGACACGCAGTGTGCTTCCGTGACAATATAAAAATTGTTACATTAGCGGTAATGTAAATACAGCCATAACGCTTAGTGTAATAATTTATTTTGTATTACTCTCAGCGTAACAATTGCAACTCTTAATGTAATAAAGATGAGTTTATTACATTAAGCGTAACGGTCGCAACGCTTAATGTAACTATTATTATATTACCGCCGTTATTACATTAAGAGTTGTGTCGTATGTTCCTGTCAAGGTTTGGAGGGGCCGGGGTGTCAGTGGCCGAACGGTCTAGGTCGTTGCGCCCAGTGATCGTTGTAGCCTATCACCTCCTAGGTTTTTAGTTCGAAACCCGTTCAGAGAAGATAATAATTTTAGGGATTTCCTTTCCTTGTGGTCGAAATTCGGCAGTTACTTGCTGGAGGTCGGTGGTTCTATGCAGATGTTCAAGGGTCTTCCTCTGCAACTTAAGCTGACATATCCGTAAATGACCTGCAATGTGTTAACTGGACAATTAACCAATTAATTCCCCTCGTCAATACTGACCGTTATACTGACTCCGTGCCGTTCAGTTCCTTGCTCCTTGCAGTATTAATGTTTTAAGGGGGAAAGCTTCAAGTGCCTTAAACGTCTTTGATATGACACACCTGACGGGGATCATCATAATGTGTATGCATACAAAAAGGGAGGTAACTGGCATTTTAGCCACATGCAAGGTTTGATGGCATTCTAATCATTAATCTAGTCATAACTGAAGCTATCATCGGAAAACAAAAGTACTGACGTCCGTACATCCGGCTGTCTGGATGGACAGACGGCCGGACGGACGGACGAACAGGCGGACATGGTGACGTCCATAGGGCTTTCGCATCTCGATGTGGGACCCTAACAATACCCAAAATGACATAACAATACAAAACCGAAGACTCAATATATCCCCCTTCATTTCGGACTTTATTACACTATGGACCTTCTTAAATTTGTCAATAGTACAGTTTCGGCGCATAATGTAATAAAATTATTATTATTACATTAAACGTAAAAGTTGCGCCGCTTAATGTAATAAAAACAACTTTATTACATTTAGCGTAGCCGTTGCAACGCTTATTGCAATAATTATTACATTAAGCGCCGTTATCACATTAAGAGTTGCATCAGGGTATCGCATCAACTGCAACATGTAAACTCCGTTAGATTGAGGATGTACTAACGTGGTTGCTCTTCAGAGATGGAAAATTCATGGAAATGACAATGTTAACAGGAAGTTAATGTCCAGAAATAGACCCTAATTATACAGTTTAGTGGAAAGCTGTCCCAGTTGGTTTTGTCGGAAGAAAAGTTAGACATAAGCGGCTGACGTGAAAGACTGTCGCGTCCTTGATTCCAATTCTGGTAGGTATGTACAATGGACGTCAATAAATCATTTATTTAAAAATAAGACGTTATCAATATATCGTAAATTGAAATTGAAGAACTTAGCAAGGTATTTGTGACCTTTTTTGGCCCTTCTATAGATTCAGTCACGTTAATATACTTTGATTGCTGATCAAATGCTGATCATCTGAGTTAGAAACCAGTATTTAGGTCGCAGTTTAGGCTGAGATTATTCATTAGATGAGTCGTTATTTTTACTATATTCACCGTTTTCTGATATCAAGAAATGAATTCCTGATATTTTTGTATAGATAGAATCGATATTTTCCTACGAGATAATCATACAATAAATGTCGGAAACAATTTTCAAATGTCAGAAAATCAGATACGTTTTCTATAAATACAAAGTTGGATAATTCATTCATTTCTTCATATTATCAAGAATTACCACACTGAAGTATGTTACCGAATGTCCCAAGCAGGATATCCAATCCGGCGATATTACACGTTAATGGGCGAACCAGTCCTCTTCATTCGAAGGATGATCATGTCAAGTTCCGGGCTTGTGATCCTGCTGTAACACACGCCCTTAAAGCTAAACCGGGAAAAATGAAAGTTGTGCTGGACAGCAGAACAGACGAGCTTGTTTCAGTATCGTTAGACGGGACCAAGACGCGGATTCATATCTACAGACAATGTCGTTTACAGGTGAGATCATCTATGCAACGTACAGTACATGTACTGATTTTTTTTTCTCTGACAGGTATGAATGACACGACTATCCGATGCGATTGTGCCGACTATTACAAGACGCCTGTCAGAAGTTTCTCGCTGTGAAAAGACATCTTACATTGTTTAAGCAAAGGTACCAGCCTCATGTGTCTGTACACTCACACTGGTACCTATCCTTGTGGTTGGGTTTAAGACTAGAGATATCTTCCGGTTTACTAGAATCTAGTGAGCCAGAGGCATGGCAATAAATAAGAGGCCCCGTAACTTAGGCGCAATTGGGGATTAGGAAATAATACTAGTGTTATCTTCTTGCACATGCATCGCTGTAACCAAGGAAACTTGAGGACGAGTTATTTCTTGGAGGGAGAATAGGTAACTCTGGTCATATGCTAGGAGCAATGTACCACTCAGCTAGAGAGAACCTCCTTTTAGCTTCATTAGTAGGACCGTGGTCCTTGTTTCAAATCATAGCAGAGGCATTATAATAATAATAACAAAAATGACATTCATCCTTTCTTAGTTGCATCCAAAATCAACTTTTCTCTTGAAATAACTTCTCAATAACCAAAAGGCCCAGAATACTGATATGGGGCTAGTAGAATGCTGGGATTTAATCTCTGAATAACTTCTTAACAGGGACGTATATGACAGTCATATACGTCCCTGTTCTTAATAAGGTCACAGGTGTCAAATATGATAAAATCTTTGAATTACTTCTTTCAAACAACCGTGTTAAACAACTGTCTTTTTAGATTGGCACACTATTAGCGAATCAAAAACAGCCCAATTTGTTATAAATGTCATCGTAACAAATTAGCATGTTGTAACAAATTCTCATGCTACTTGGCTCACCCTGAATCTGTAATGGACACTGGTACATAGAATACTGTTTTATGTTCCAGGGTGTTGTGGCTGTTCCTAAGTCTGTACTGTACATAGAATACTGTTTCATGTTCCAGGGTGTTGTGGCTGTTCCCGAGTCAGTACTGTACATAGAATACTGTTTTATGTTCCAGGGTGTTGTGGCTGTTCCTTAGTCTGTACTGTACATAGAATACTGTTTTATGTTCCAGGGTGTTGTGGCTGTTCCTGAGTCTGTACTGTACATAGAATACTGTTTTATGTTCAGGGTGTTGTGGCCGTTCCCGAGTCAGTACTGTACATAGAATACTGTTTTATGTTCCAGGGTGTTGTGGCTGTTCCCGAGTCTGTACTGTACATAGAATACTGTTTTATGTTCCAGGGTGTTGTGGCTGTTCCCGAGTCAGTACTGTACATAGAATACTGTTTTATGTTCCAGGATGTTGTGGCTGTTCCCGAGTCAGTACTGTACATCAAATACTGTTTTATGTTCCAGGGTGTTGTGGCTGTTCCCCAGTCTGTACTGTACATAGAATACTGTTTTATGTTCCAGGGTGTTGTGGCTGTTCCCGAGTCTGTACTGTACATAGAATACTGTTTTATGTTCCAGGGTGTTGTGGCTGTTCCCGAGACTGTACTGTACATAGAATACTGTTTTATGTTCCAGGATGTTGTGGCTGTTCCCGAGTCAGTACTGTATATCAAATACTGTTTTATGTTCCAGGGTGTTGTGGCTGTTCCCGAGTCAGTACTGTACATCAAATACTGTTTTATGTTCCAGGGTGTTGTGGCTGTTCCCGAGTCAGTACTGTACATAGAATACTGTTTTATGTTCCAGGGTGTTGTGGCTGTTCCCGAGTCAGTACTGTATATCAAATACTGTTTTATGTTCCAGGGTGTTGTGGCTGTTCCTTAGTCTGTACTGTACATAGAATACTGTTTCATGTTCCAGGATGTTGTGGCTGTTCCCGAGTCAGTACTGTACAACAAATACTGTTTTATGTTCCAGGTTGTTGTGGCTGTTCCCTAGTCTGTACTGTACATAGAATACTGTTTTATGTTCCAGGGTGTTGTGGCTGTTCCCGAGTCTGTACTGTACATAGAATACCGTTTTATGTTCCAGGATGTTGTGGCTGTTCCCGAGTCAGTACTGTACATAGAATACTGTTTTATGTTCCAGGGTGTTGTGGCTGTTCCCGAGTCTGTACTGTACATATAATACTGTTTTATGTTCCAGGGTGTTGTGGCTGTTCCCGAGTCTGTACTGTACATAGAATACTGTTTTATGTTCCAGGGTGTTGTGGCTGTTTCCGAGTCGGTACTGTACATCAAATACTGTTTTATGTTCCAGGGTGTTGTGGCTGTTCCCGAGTTGGTACTGTACATCAAATACTGTTTTATGTTCCAGGGTGTTGTGGCAGTTCCCGAGTTGGTACTAGATATGTGTGTTGGAAGTCAGGTGTCACATGATACAGCAAACAAGGGATGGCTTTTGTACATCTTAACCTGTTGCCAGCTTTATGTTGTTGATGAAACTCAGGTTGTAACAAGCAGGTAAGTCTATCCTACAGTTGACACAATAATTGAGTAAAACTTCTGCTAAGGACTGATGCACTTTCCATTCAGAACATAAATTCACGTCGATGTGTATTAAAAGCAACAATGACCATCACCAGGAGACAGATACTAAACACTCAGTCACCCCACCATCACCAGCAGACAGATACTAGACATTCAGTCTCCCCTACCATCACCAGGAAACAGATACTAGACATTCAGTCTCCTTACCATCACCAGGAAACAGATACTAGACATTCAGTCTCCTTACCATCACCAGGAGACAGATACTAGACATTCAGTCTCCTTACCATCACCAGGGGACAGATACTAGACATTCTGTCACCCCAACCATCTCCAGAAGACAGATACTAGACATTCGGTCTCCCCAACCATCACCAGGAGACAGATACTAGACTTTCAGTCTTCCAAACCATCACCAGGAGACAGATACTAGACATTCAGTCTCCCAATCATCACCAGAAGACAGAAACTAGACGTTCAGTCTACCCAACCATCACCAGGAGGCAGAAACTATACTTTCAGTCTCCCTACCATCACCAGGAGGCAGATTCTAGACTTTCAGTCTCCCAAACCATCACCAGGAGACAGATACTAGACATTCAGTCTCCCAATCATCACCAGAAGACAGAAACTAGACGTTCAGTCTCCCCAACCATCACCAGGAGGCAGAAACTATACTTTCAGTCTCCCTACCATCACCAGGAGGCAGATACTAGACTTTCAGTCTTCCTACCATCACCAGGAGACAGAAACTAGACATTCAGTCTCCCAACCATCACCATCTTTGCTGTAAGAAATCCTATTTTGTAGTAAATATAACCATAAAAATTCATTCAGAGATATGAGATGTCACAATATCATAAATGTCAGCTTAAATGTTGCTTTGCCCAAATTAGGAAGTTCAGTCTGTTTGCATTGCAGTTGAGACTAAAAATATATCTTTTTATGTGTTGTGGTATGGGTTTAAGTTTAAGGCAATTTAATCATCTTGTGTAGGTGGGACTCTACAAGAGAGAAGATCTGTTGAGCCATACTACAGAATTACAATGGGCAGTAACTGGAAAGTAAATTGATAGTTAACATGTATTGATGTCACTCTGGTAAAATAGTACCAGTCATATACCACTTGACTGGAGGAAACTTCTCTTAAGCTTGATCAGTTGAGAGTCACCCTAGTAAGCTAGAGGTCCCAGGTTCAAATCCTAACAGAGGCAATGAAATAGATAACACCCTCTGTTACATTAATAATTTGTTGGATCATATAATTACGCTTTCCCTTATGTCTTATGACAATTTCTAGATCTTTTTTGAGAAATGGCATGACTTAAAGTATTTTCTATTTCAGATCAGAGAAAGGCTTGGTAGACAACAAAACAAAAGGTGGAAATCAAGAGATCTTCAGTGAACTCCTTGGTAAAGGTTCTATCTTTGGGATGAGTGAGTTTGAGGTGGTGTCCCAGCCAGTGTACCAAGTTACAAGGGGTCATTCATTGCTGGAGGTAGGACAAGAAGTAGCGAGTTTAGCCGTTGGATGTGGTGTGATTGTCATCGCATCATGCTCTCAGGATCGTTATGTAATACAGTTATACTTAATGGCTGATCTGCACTCAGAGACACCGAGAAACAAACTTCCTGTTCAGACCTATGTTATACATAGACATTTGACAGCCCCTGGTAATGATCAGGAACTCTGCCAAAAATTACCTATATATACTGAACATGGACAAGAATTGCATTCCAGCCCTAGTGATCAGTCTATATCCTTACATCTAGTCATGCCCAATGATGGCATCTCAGACCAACAAAGATTCTCATCTGTTCTGGAAATCTCCAAAGACATTTTTCAGGCCTTTTGTGGTTTTGAGTTGTCATTACTGAACTCTCCTTTATTATTATTATGTCCACCAGAGGGCTCTGTTTATTATGCACCAATCAAGTCTCTTGACACAATAGATAAAACTGTAAGGATATTTTGTCACACACATCATCCAGTTATTAAAGTAGGCAAGATAGAGGTGAAGGTGACGGATAGAACAGATGGTGTAGAGGGTGGCCTCCAAGACACACGTATGGGATTGGTTGTGATATCAAAGGATGGGAGGGCATTATTAGCTACACTGGAAAATTCCCAGAAATTGGAATTCATTGAGTTTGCTTTGCCAGGCTCAATTTTGGACATTGATATGCATGACAATAAGATTTACCAGTCAACTGATATGGATGTGTTTGAGAGCAAATTGGAAATAAGCCCAGAGCCATTAGGGCTGTCTTGCCGCACTGTGGAACTAATGTATGCTGGGGTGAAGGAGCTAGCCTGTCTCCATAACAACAACCATATTGAAGGTGAGGAGTGTCTTCATCACCAGATTAGAGATAAGAACTTTTATCATTACACACTCTAATATGACGGGAAGAAGAAACTTTTTCATTATTTTTTTTTAATGTAACCTTAGTAAAATACTAGCTTTAGTATACCACTCGGCTAGAGATAACTTAGCTAGATAACATGTGCTTGATCGGTTGAACGTCGGACAAGTAAACCAAAGGTCTTGGGTTCGAATCCTAGCGGAGGCATTGAAATAAATAATGACCTCTGTTACATGAATGTGATGACATCTTTCTAAAACCTGTGTGTATATTTTGTCTGTCAGTTATATTGTGGTTGATTGTTTATGAAGGATGTGTATAGATGGTTACTTAGCTGCCAGAGTTTTTGTGCTGTAGGAGGGGAATGTAACCTGATGCTGATGACACCTGGGCTCCAACCAAAGGTTATTAATCCTGCTGTAAGACAGAAGCGAGGAAAACCATCTGTGGGTGCTGGTCACATCATTCGTGATCTTCTCGGTAGCATCAGTAAGTGTAACCAGGAGACTGAGGCTTTGCAGCAGCAGAAGTGTCATCAGACAAAGAAATTATCTCAACTAAACATGGCTGCCTTTCTGTCAACACAAGACCCACACAGCCCAGACTTTCCACTCCAGTTCTCTGTCTCTCACGTAGGCACTCGGCCCCAACAGAACAATGATTGGGTGCTTTCTTGTCACATGACTAATATAAGTAACATGTATCTCTCTGGTGATTGGACGGTTATGATAATTTTGAGTGATAACAAACATGAGTTTATGACTTTATCCTTCCCTGTCCCCAATGGACTTGGACCTGAGACAAGCCTGGAGTTCCATTTGGTTCCACCAACCTCACACTGCTCCCTTCTGAGACCTGTGGAGGTGAAGACTAGTCTACTGATTCAGGCCAATGAAGAGAATCTGTCTGTAATGAATATACCGATCAGTACATTTACTTTGGACATTTTGTACGGCATGGTCACCTCTGAGGATGTGACTGCAGTGACCTCCCTAAGTAAGGAGGTCAGTGTTACACAGCTGGTGAGAGAGATTGCAGAGGCCCAGCCGATATCAAAATGTTTGGAATCACTCCCAGCTCCAACACCAGCAATGGTCAGTGTTCATGTTCCAAACCATGTCCTCGAGTCAGATCAACTCTCTGTATACCATACAGGTATGTTATTCAACACTAACCACTTCTTGTAATAAGCAATAAAGAAAACATATAAAGAGCACCTGTTAATTCAGTAACAGATAAAGTATAGGCTGAGTTTATAATGTTGATCAATGGTGATATTAATGGAAAAGATTAAATAACAAGTGCTAGGCAATGGCACTCGTAACATAAAAGATTAAGGTAAAATAAATACATGTCATCAATGTAGACATGGAAATGGTGACATCTTGCAATCAAAATGGCTGTTCCACTTAACAGGTCACACTGACTATAATCAATGTTATATCTGATAATTATTACTTAATTATTACACTTGATAACTATCCCTCAATCTTTATATATACAATATTGCTTATCACAGGAGGCTGTCAAGGCTGCTAGTCTTCTTGTTACTAGATAGCAATTGAACATGAACATTAAAATTGATTGGTGATTGTAAAAGTCATTTTTAATTTGACAGTTTTCGAAATAATAGTAATTCAGGGGAAAGACTAAGTGATCTTTCTGTATTTTGGAGTGAGGACAAAGTCACAATGTTTTTTATCAAGGTTGATACCAATTTTTGATCAGGTAGAAGGGACGTTGTGTGTCTGAAGAGTCACAATGTTTTTTATCAAGGTCTATACCAATTTTTGATCAGGTAGAAGAGATGTTGTGTGCCTGAAGAGTCACAATGTTTTTTATCAAGGTCTATACCAATTTTTGATCAGGTAGAAGAGATGTTGTGTGTCTGAAGAGTCACAAGTCACAAGAAGGGATGTTGTGTGCCTGAAGAGTCACAAGTCACAAGAAGGGATGTTGTGTGTCTGAAGAGTCACAAGTCACAAGAAGGGATGTTGTGTGTCTGAAGAGTCACAAGTCACAAGAAGGGATGTTGTGTGCCTGAAGAGTCACAAGTCACAAGAAGGGATGTTGTGTGTCTGAAGAGTCACAAGTCACAAGAAGGGACGTTGTGTGTCTAAAGAGTCACAAGTCACAAGAAGGGATGTTGTGTGCCTGAAGAGTCACAAGTCACAAGAAGGGACGTTGTGTGTCTGAAGAGTCACAAGAAGAGATGTTGTGTGCCTGAAGAGTCACAATTCACAAGAAGGGATGTTGTGTGTCTGAAGAGTCACAAGAAGAGATGTTGTGTGCCTGAAGAGTCACAAGTCACAAGAAGGGATGTTGTGTGTCTGAAGAGTCACAAGAAGAGATGTTGTGTGCCTGAAGAGTCACAATTCACAAGAAGGGATGTTGTGTGTCTGAAGAGTCACAAGTCACAAGAAGGGATGTTGTGTGTCTGAAGAGTCACAAGTCACAAGAAGGGATGTTGTGTGTCTGAAGAGTCACAAGTCACAAGAAGGGATGTTGTGTGTCTGAAGAGTCACAAGTCACAAGAAGGGATGTTGTGTGTCTGAAGAGTCACAAGTCACAAGAAGGGATGTTGTGTGCCTGAAGAGTCACAAGTCACAAGAAGGGATGTTGTGTGTCTGAAGAGTCACAAGAAGAGATGTTGTGTGTCTGAAGAGTCACAATCACAAGAAGGGATGTTGTGTGTCTGAAGAGTCACAAGTCACAAGAAGGGATGTTGTGTGTCTGAAGAGTCACAAGTCACAAGAAGGGATGTTGTGTGTCTGAAGAGTCACAAGTCACAAGAAGGGATGTTGTGTGTCTGAAGAGTCACAAGTCACAAGAAGGGATGTGTGCCTGAAGAGTCACAAGTCACAAGAAGGGATGTTGTGTGTCTGAAGAGTCACAAGTCACAAGAAGGGTTGTGTGTCTGAAGAGTCACAGTGTTTTTTATCAAGGAGAGCTAATCATTGCCTTTACCATTGTTTGCTTGTCACTGCAATGTTTTAGATAAACTGTGCCATTGTTTGGAAGAAGGGCTGTTCCATCTTTCAGTAACTCAAATTCATGTTAGCCAATTAGACCCAGACTTCATACATACAAGTGCTTCCGTGGGAGAATTGTTCAGGTCCAGAGGTCATTTCTTTATGTAAATAAAAATTGGCGATCAGTTTATACACCATAGCTATTTCTCCTAGTGCACAGGTTTTACACAAGGGTGTAGTTACAGAATTACTTACCTGTACTTGTAATTACTTCTTAGATTGGAAAGCTGCTGCCATAATTCATTATTGAGTAAATATCACAATAGCTGCATTCCCTCAAAGCTGATTGAGGCAGACTAGTTGTTATATACAGGTAGGCCAGGATGACCTTTATCGTTAGATGTAAATTTTTAACATTTCAAACTTCTCAATTTCCACCTGTGGGATTGATCTGAAACTGACCTGAAATTATCCTGAGATGGTCCAGACCAAGTGTATTATTTTTGGGGTCAGACTGAAATCAGATATGGTAGCCTACTCGAAAAACATGTTTTAAACTTTGTTTTACTTTCCACTTGTGCAACTGAGCTGAAAATTGGTGGCAATTTTAGGAAGCAGAGAAGTGTTGTTATTTTTTAGCCTTATTGAACGTTCAATAGGGCAGCCAAAACAGTCACTTTTTAACATCACAATCATGGTTTCCTTGAAAAAATCATGGATGCCATCAATCTGAAATTTATTGGGAATGTCAAGGAACTGAAAGAAGGAGAGTTTTTTTTCCTTTACTGCTAAAATAATAGTTGTTTTAATAATTAAATAACAGTTGCTCCTCCCCTTACTACTACTGTTATATCCTGAAGAGGTCTTTATAGACAGAGGACTGTTAGGCCCATGGACTTCTGGTGTTTAGGGAGAGGTATGTAGCATTGTTTGAAAGTAAGAAAGCTATACCACTGTTGTTAGGAAAACGGAGCTAAACAGTTGATTTGATACTAAATAAAAAGACTGATCTCAAGTAATATATTGCTATTTGTTCTTGACAGAAACCTGTCCTCTGCTAAGTTACCTGCTCAAGTCTAGCTCAGTGAACCCTCGCAACAATTCTGTATCCATGGTGACAGCGGGAGGACACAAGGTGCAGCTGACCACAGAGGGGAATTTACTGACCATACACAGTGACAAAGCTGAAGTAACCATAGCAACCAGACAAGCCATAATCAACAGACTCCTAGTAAGTGCTTTAGTTTTAACTGACCTTCATTTGTATAATTTGAAAGGTTAACCCATGGAAATAACTTTCGTAGCTATGCCTATTGTCCATTTTATTTTTTTATTGAAATATGTTGAAATGGTAAGCATTTAAATACTCTGTAAAACCATTAAGATACGAGGTTGGCAAGAGTACATGTTGTTAGAGACCAAACAGTACAAACCACTGTTACATACTGGTTTTGATGTTATTTTTGTTTTTTGTAGGATATAAGTAAGCAAGGTACCAAACGCTTTCATCATTGTGACAGACTGGTACATCATCTCAATAGCTTACAGCATCTGCAGGTACCATAGCTTCTTTAAGGCCCTCTGTTCATTCATGTATTACCATCTTGTTATTCAATATAAATCTTGGTTTGGTAGTTCTGACCTCAGCTGAGGATACTGATACAAGAACCAGTGTAAAGATTCTGTGATGTAGTTGATATCTAATAACACTACAGTCCGTAAATGTTCATCTCCCTCTATAAATCAAGGTCAGCAGGTTTCAGACAATGACGTTCTAGGATACTTAGAATTGATATCATGAAATAATTCTGTTGTACACAAGATAAAGAAATTTAATTCTTTTTTATTCACAGGACAAGTTATCAGATCTTAATTCTGGCAGTTATTGTACATCAGATATAAGCAAATACCAGAACAAAGTGTTTGGTATTTACCATTACATCCGTTCCACAGCCAAAGTTGAGTGAAACTATTCTTAGACTGTAAAACAACACAGAGTGGGTAAAGGTTGACGTCCCAGGATCACTTCACTACTCCATAGACTGTAAAACAACACAGAGTGGGTAAAGTTTGACGTCACAGGATCACTTCACTACTCCATAGACTGTAAAACAACACAGAGTGGGTAAAGGTTGACCTCACAGGATCACTTCACTACTCCATAGACTGTAAAACAACACAGAGTGGGTAAAGTTTGACGTCACAGGATCACTTCACTACTCCATAGACTGTAAAACAACACAGAGGGGGTAAAGTTTGATGTCACAGGATCACTTCACTACTCCATAGACTGTAAAACAACACAGAGTGGGTAAAGGTTGACCTCACAGGATCACTTCACTACTCCATAGACTGTAAAACAACACAGAGTGGGTAAAGTTTGACGTCACAGGATCACTTCACTACTCCATAGACTGTAAAACAACACAGAGTGGGTAAAGGTTGACCTCACAGGATCACTTCACTACTCCATAGACTGTAAAACAACACAGAGTGGGTAAAGTTTGATGTCACAGGATCACTTCACTACTCCATAGACTGTAAAACAACACAGAGTGGGTAAAGTTTGATTGACTTCACTCACAGGATCACTTCACTACTCCATAGACTGTAAAACAACACAGAGTGGGTAAAGTTTGATGTCACAGGATCACTTCACTACTCCATAGACTGTAAAACAACACAGAGTGGGTAAAGTTTGACGTCACAGGATCACTTCACTACTCCATAGACTGTAAAACAACACAGAGTGGGTAAAGTTTGATGTCACAGGATCACTTCACTACTCCATAGACTGTAAAACAACACAGAGTGGGTAAAGTTTGACGTCACAGGATCACTTCACTACTCCATAGACTGTAAAACAACACAGAGTGGGTAAAGTTTGACGTCACAGGATCACTTCACTACTCCATAGACTGTAAAACAACACAGAGGGGGTAAAGTTTGACGTCACAGGATCACTTCACTACTCCATAGACTGTAAAACAACACAGAGTGGGTAAAGTTTGACGTCACAGGATCACTTCACTACTCCATAGACTGTAAAACAACACAGAGTGGGTAAAGTTTGACGTCACAGGATCACTTCACTACTCCATAGACTGTAAAACAACACAGAGTGGGTAAAGTTTGACGTCACAGGATCACTTCACTACTCCATAGACTGTAAAACAACACAGAGTGGGTAAAGTTTGACGTCACAGGATCACTTCACTACTCCATAGACTGTAAAACAACACAGAGTGGGTAAAGTTTGATGTCACAGGATCACTTCACTACTCCATAGACTGTAAAACAACACAGAGTGGGTAAAGTTTGACGTCACAGGATCACTTCACTACTCCATAGACTGTAAAACAACACAGAGTGGGTAAAGTTTGATGTCACAGGATCACTTCACTACTCCATAGACTGTAAAACAACACAGAGTGGGTAAAGTTTGATGTCACAGGATCACTTCACTACTCCATAGACTGTAAAACAACACAGAGGGGGTAAAGTTTGATGTCACAGGATCACTTCACTACTCCATAGACTGTAAAACAACACAGAGTGGGTAAAGTTTGACGTCATGGATTTCACTACTCCATAGACTGTAAAACACACAGGAGGATCAGGGGGTAATTTTGACACTACTCCATAGACTGTAAAACAACACAGAGGGGGTAAAGTTTGATGTCACAGGATCACTTCACTACTCCATAGACTGTACAAATAACACAGAAGTATCATGTTTCTTCAGGCCATAATGTCAGACTCAGTAGGGAATTACAAGGATACACCTTGGTAGTATCATGTTTCTTCAGGCCATAATGTCAGACTCAGTAGGGAATTACAAGGATACACCTTGGTAGTATCATGTTTCTTCAGGCCATAATGTCAGACTCAGTAGGTCAGTGGAATTACAAGGATACACCTTGGTAGTATCATGTTTCTTCAGGCCATAATGTCAGACTCAGTAGGGAATTACAAGGATACACCTTGGTAGTATCATGTTTCTTCAGGCCATAATGTCAGACTCAGTAGGGAATTACAAGGCCATAATGTCAGACTTTACAAGGATACACCTTGTAATGTCAGACTCAGTAGGGAATTACAAGGATACACCTTGGTAGTATCATGTTTCTTCAGGCCATAATGTCAGACTCAGTAGGGAATTACAAGGATAATGTCACCAGTAGGGAATGGTACACCTTGGTAGTATCATGTTTCTTCAGGCCATAATGTCAGACTCAGTAGGGAATTACAAGGATACACCTTGGTAGTATCATGTTTCTTCAGGCCATAATGTCAGACTCAGTAGGGAATTACAAGGATACACCTTGGTAGTATCATGTTTCTTCAGGCCATAATGTCAGACTCAGTAGGGAATTACAAGGATACACCTTGGTAGTATCATGTTTCTTCAGGCCATAATGTCAGACTCAGTAGGGAATTACAGTGGGAATTACAAGGATACACCTTGGTAGTATCATGTTTCTTCAGGCCATAATGTCAGACTCAGTAGGGAATTACAAGGATACACCTTGGTAGTATCATGTTTCTTCAGGCCATAATGTCAGACTCAGTAGGGAATTACAAGGATACACCTTGGTAGTATCATGTTTCTTCAGGCCATACACCTTGGTAGTATCATGTTTCTTCAGGCCATAATGTCAGACTCAGTAGGGAATTACAAGGATACACCTTGGTAGTATCATGTTTCTTCAGGCCATAATGTCAGACTCAGTAGGGAATTACAAGGATACACCTTGGTAGTATCATGTTTCTTCAGGCCATAATGTCAGACTCAGTAGGGAATTACAAGGATACACCTTGGTAGTATCATGTTTCTTCAGGCCATAATGTCAGACTCAGAAGGATACACCTTGGTAGTATCATGTTTCTTCAGGCCTTAATGTCAGACTCAGTAGGGAATTACAAGGATACACCTTGGTAGTATCATGTTTCTTCAGGCCATAATGTCAGACTCAGTAGTGAATTACAAGGATACACCTTGGTAGTATCATGTTTCTTCAGGCCATAATGTCAGACTCAGTAGGGAATTACAAGGATACACCTTGGTAGTATCATGTTTCTTCAGGATACACCTTGGTAGTATCATGTTTCTTCAGGCCATAATGTCAGACTCAGTAGGGAATTACAAGGATACACCTTGGTAGTATCATGTTTCTTCAGGCCATAATGTCAGACTCAGTAGGGAATTACAAGGATACACCTTGGTAGTATCATGTTTCTTCAGGCCATAATGTCAGACTCAGTAGGGAATTACAAGGATACACCTTGGTAGTATCATGTTTCTTGAGGCCATAATGTCAGACTCAGTAGGGAATTACAAGGATACACCTTGGTAGTATCATGTTTCTTCAGGCCATAATGTCAGACTCAGTAGGGAATTACAAGGATACACCTTGGTAGTATCATGTTTCTTCAGGCCATAATGTCAGACTCAGTAGGGAATTACAAGGATACACCTTGGTAGTATCATGTTTCTTCAGGCCATAGTCAGACTCAGTAGGGAATTACAAGGATACACCTTGGTAGTATCATGTTTCTTCAGGCCATAATGTCAGACCATAATGTCAGACTAGGGAATTACAAGGATACACCTTGGTAGTATCATGTTTCTTCTTCAATGTCAGACTCAGGGATACACCTTGGTAATGTCAGACTCAGTAGGGAATTACAAGGATACACCTTGGTAGTATCATGTTTCTTCAGGCCATAATGTCAGACTCAGTAGGTCAGTGGAATTACAAGGATACACCTTGGTAGTATCATGTTTCTTCAGGCCATAATGTCAGACTCAGTAGGGAATTACAAGGATACACCTTGGTAGTATCATGTTTCTTCAGGCCATAATGTCAGACTCAGTAGGGAATTACAAGGATACACCTTGGTAGTATCATGTTTCTTCAGGCCATAATGTCAGACTCAGTAGGTCAGTGGAATTACAAGGATACACCTTGGTAGTATCATGTTTCTTCAGGCCATAATGTCAGACTCAGTAGGGAATTACAAGGATACACCTTGGTAGTATCATGTTTCTTCAGGCCATAATGTCAGACTCAGTAGGGAATTACAAGGATACACCTTGGTAGTATCATGTTTCTTCAGGCCATAATGTCAGACTCAGTAGGGAATTACAAGGATACACCTTGGTAGTATCATGTTTCTTCAGGCCATAATGTCAGACTCAGTAGGGAATTACAAGGATACACCTTGGTAGTATCATGTTTCTTCAGGCCATAATGTCAGACTCAGTAGGGAATTACAAGGATACACCTTGGTAGTATCATGTTTCTTCAGGCCATAATGTCAGACTCAGTAGGTCAGTGGAATTACAAGGATACACCTTGGTAGTATCATGTTTCTTCAGGCCATAATGTCAGACTCAGTAGGGAATTACAAGGATACACCTTGGTAGTATCATGTTTCTTCAGGCCATAATGTCAGACTCAGTAGGGGATAATTGGTAGTATCATGTTTCTTCAGGCCATAATGTCACCACCTTGGTAGTATCATGTTTCTTCAGGCCTTAATGTCAGACTCAGTAGGGAATTACAAGGATACACCTTGGTAGTATCATGTTTCTTCAGGCCATAGTCAGACACAGTAGGGAATTACAAGGATACACCTTGGTAGTATCATGTTTCTTCAGGCCATAATGTCAGACTCAGTAGGGAATTACAAGGATACACCTTGGTAGTATCATGTTTCTTCAGGCCATAATGTCAGACTCAGTAGGGAATTACAAGGATACACCTTGGTAGTATCATGTTTCTTCAGGCCATAATGTCAGACTCAGTAGGGAATTACAAGGATACACCTTGGTAGTATCATGTTTCTTCAGGCCATAATGTCAGACTCAGTAGGGAATTACAAGGATACACCTTGGTAGTATCATGTTTCTTCAGGCCATAATGTCAGACTCAGTAGGGACTTACAAGGATACACCTTGGTAGTATCATGTTTCTTCAGGCCATAATGTCAGACTCAGTAGGGAATTACAAGGATACACCTTGGTAGTATCATGTTTCTTCAGGCCATAATGTCAGACTCAGTAGGGAATTACAAGGATACACCTTGGTAGTATCATGTTTCTTCAGGCCATAATGTCAGACTCAGTAGGGAATTACAAGGATACACCTTGGTAGTATCATGTTTCTTCAGGCCATAATGTCAGACTCAGTAGGGAATTACAAGGATACACCTTGGTAGTATCATGTTTCTTCAGGCCATAATGTCAGACTCAGTAGGGAATTACAAGGATACACCTTGGTAGTATCATGTTTCTTCAGGCCATAATGTCAGACTCAGTAGGGAATTACAAGGATACACCTTGGTAGTATCATGGGGCCATAATGTCAGACTCAGTAGGGAATTACAAGGATACACCTTGGTAGTATCATGTTTCTTCAGGCCATAATGTCAGACTCAGTAGGGAATTACAAGGATACACCTTGGTAGTATCATGTTTCTTCAGGCCATAATGTCAGACTCAGTAGGGAATTACAAGGATACACCTTGGTAGTATCATGTTTTCAGGCCATAATGTCAGGCCATAGGGAATTACAAGGATACACCTTGGTAGTATCATGTTTCTTCAGGCCTTAATGTCAGACTCAGTAGGGAATTACAAGGATACACCTTGGTAGTATCATGTTTCTTCAGGCCATAATGTCAGACTCAGTAGGGAATTACAAGGATACACCTTGGTAGTATCATGTTTCTTCAGGCCATAATGTCAGACTCAGTAGGGAATTACAAGGATACACCTTGGTAGTATCATGTTTCTTCAGGAATTTACAAGGATACACCTTGGTAGTATCATGTTTCTTCAGGCCATAATGTCAGACTCAGTAGGGAATTACAAGGATACACCTTGGTAGTATCATGTTTCTTCAGGCCATAATGTCAGACTCAGTAGGGAATTACAAGGATACACCTTGGTAGTATCATGTTTCTTCAGGCCATAATGTCAGACTACACCTTGGTAGTATCATGTTTCTTCAGGCCAATTACAAGGATACACCTTGGTAGTATCATGTTTCTTCAGGCCATAATGTCAGACTCAGTAGGTCAGTGGAATTACAAGGATACACCTCTTGATCTTGAAGTTTTGACATCTTTGTCAGTTTGTAGGGATTCTATCAAATAGCTTATTTCATCAGGTTTGAATTAAAAGTATATTGCTTTATATCTCTTACAAGTTCAGTATTGGTAAAAATTGGTCAACATTTGCCACAGTGCAGGACCTTTTAATTCCTTAAAGTAAATCATTTCTTCATTTCTGTCAAGGAACTTTTAACTTTGTCAGATTTGAATTTGGTATATTGATTTATATCAGTGGGATCCCTAAGATATTGGTTAAAATCTGTCAGCATTTGCCAGAATTGAAAATGTTTGAAATAGATCCCTTCTCTATTTCTGTGGAATAACTTTTTACCATCAAATTTCAACAAAATTTTATATAACGATAGATGTTAATGATGTCTTGAATGGTATGATAGATTAAGTCTGTCTATACAAGAGCTATGGGACCGACACAATCTGTTCATATTTCCCAGTTATCAGATGTTTAAGATTGCGTTCTTGCGTCTCATACCACACCTTTGATATATTGGGGAAAAAAAATGTTCATTTGAATACATACATAGCCGTCATCAATGGTTTCCATTCAGAAGTGTAGTGGTTCTCAAACATATTTCTAATTAAAAAAGTAACATCCAGAGTAGTTTCACACTATTTTTAATTTTGTAAACAAAAAATCATTTTACAATCAATTAAAATTACTTTAAAAGCAACAATTTCCAGAATCATATTCCCTTTATATTATGCTGATTTACAATTATGATTCTTTTGGCAGAAATACTTTTGAAATCTAAAGATTTCTAATAATCATGAAAAAAAACACATGCATTTTCATTTTTGTTCCATTTCAAGACAGGAAACAAGTACAGCATTACCACAAAGAAATGTATCTGACTAAGGATCCTACAATTGTTGTATAAGATTAAATGTTTACAACATGTACACTACAACATAAAAGATTGTGCTAATAGTAGACAGTGTGGTGATGTTATCTCACACAATATTGGTGTGTTAATGAAACAAGTATCACAATAAAAAAAAGAGGTTGTAAGCAAATTAACACCGCCCAACTCCATAACTCCTAACACCGCCCAACTCCATAACTCCTAATAACGCCCAACTCCATAACTCCTAACAATGCCCAACTCCATAACTCCTAACACCGCCCAACTCCATAACTCCTAACAACGCCCAACTCCATAACTCCTAACACCGCCCAACTCCATAACTCCTAACAATGCCCAACTCCATAACTCCTAACACCGCCCAACTCCATAACTCCTAATAACGCCCAACTCCATAACTCCTAACAACGCCCAACTCCATAACTCCTAACAATGCCCAACTCCACAACTTCTAACAATCCCCAACTCCACAACTCGCCGCCGAAAATAAAGAGATCTAGCACCAGGTATCCTAACTTCGTGATTGATTCCACAGGCTGTCTGACTAGAAGGAACAATTAAGTGTTGATAAGTTAGAGAGCATGTAACTAGAACAAATCAGAAGTAAAGGACAGGCCATAAAGCAATAATTATGACAAAAAGTGAACACAGTTCTTCATTCATTTCCTCTAAATGCTACCTGACATGTTCTCCTTTACTTGTCTTTAGAAGTATATACAGTTTAGAGTTCAAACAGGCTATTGTCATGTACACTTTTGGTACATGGTAAAAATTACACATGGAAACATTTTAAGGGAGGAGAAACAACACATTAAAATATATATGTAAAAAAGATTTAAACTTATAACAGATATATGTAAGTTACATTAAAAATATACTGTAAATAACTTTAGAAAAACATTAAAAAATATGAGATTATGGTTAAAAATATACATTCATTTATGATTATACATGGTTATCATGTATGTTCCTGGGAAAATTGAAGCTAGATTTACAAACAAAAAACAAGAGACCTATGAATCAAATTACATGTACATGCAGAGAAACAGTAGACCTAATTTACATACCAATGATGGCCAGTAAACCCAATAAACATAGACAGCCTAGATGTAAATGTCTATAAATGGATGCTATTATGCCTAATTACCATCCTAAATAAATTATGAAGTTTGTTGGATTTCTTGCTCTATGGACAGCTATGGTCAATGCTCTTACCAAATGAGCTATTGTGGTTTCTTCTGATAACAGCCAGTAGGCCTAACTTACATACCACGGACGGCCAGTAGGCCTAACTTACATACCATGGACAGCCAGTAGGCCTAACTTACAAACCATGGACAGCCAGTAGGCCTAACTAACATACCATGGACAGACAGTAGGCCTAACTAACATACCACGGACGGCCAGTAAGCCTAACTTACATACCACATACAGCCAGTAGGCCTAACTTACATACCACATACAGCCAGTAGGCCTAACTTACATACCACGGACGGCCAGTAGGCCTAACTTACAAACCATGGACAGCCAGTAGGCCTAACTTACATAACATGGACAGCCAGTAGGCCTAACTTACAAACCATGGACAGCCAGTAGGCCTAACTAACATACCATGGACAGACAGTAGGCCTAACTAACATACCACGGACGGCCAGTAAGCCTAACTTACATACCACATACAGCCAGTAGGCCTAACTTACATACCACATACAGCCAGTAGGCCTAACTTACATACCACATACAGCCAGTAGGCCTAACTTACATACCATGGACGGCCAGTAGGCCCAACTTACATACCACATACAGCCAGTAGGCCTAACTTACATACCTCGGACGGCCAGTAGGCCTATCTTACATACCATGGACAGACAGTAGGCCTAACTAACATACCACGGAGGGCCAGTAAGCCTAACTAACATACCATGGACGGCCAGTAGGCCTAACTTACAAACCACGGACAGCCAGTAGGCCTAACTTACATACCACATACAGACAGTAGGCCTAACTTACATACCACGGACGGCCAGTAGGCCCAACTTACAAACCATGGACAGCCAGTAGGCCTAACATACATACCATGGACAGACAGTAGGCCTAACTAACAAACCACGGACGGCCAGTAAGCCTAACTTACATACCATGGACAACCAGTAGGCCTAATTTATATTTTCAAACCAGTAACAACAGGTAGGCCAAATTTGCAAACCAATGATATTACAATGGTAGAAAAGGGGTTAAGTTAAGGCCTCATTTACATAACAATGGCAGTCAAGAGACTAAGTTAAGGCTAATGTAAGAAAAGTACACAGGATATTAACAGGATCCCCATTAAACATCACATACCTACTCAATCTACAGGTGAGCTGTGATCTTAGCTGCCATTTCATAACCTTAACATGGACCACAGCCCCTGTGACCCACAAGTAACATGGACCACAGCCCCTGTGACCCACAAGTAACATGGACCACAGCTCCTGTGACCCACAAGTAACATGGACCACAGCTCCTGTGACCCACAAGTAACATGGACCACAGCCCCTGTGAGCTAACATGGACCACAGCTCCTGTGATCCACAAGTAACACGGACAACAGCTCCTGTGACCCACAAGTAACATGGACCACAGCTCCTGTGACCCACAAAGAACACGGACCACAGCTCCTGTGACCCACAACTAACATGGACCACAGCTCCTGTGATCCACAAGTAACACGGCCCACAGCTCCTGTGATCCACAAGTAACACGGCCCACAGCTCCTGTGATCCACAAGTAACATGGACCACAGCTCCTGTGATCCACAAGTAACACGGCCCACAGCTCCTGTGACCCACAAAGAACACGGACCACAGCTCCTGTGATCCACAAATAACACGGCCCACAGCTCCTGTGATCCACAAGTAACACAGACCACAACCCCTGTGATCCACAAGTAACACGGACCACAGCCCGTGAGACCCACAAGTAACACAGACCACAGCTCCTGTGACCCACAAGTACCACAGACCACAACCCCTGTGACCCACAAGTAACACGGCCCACAGCTCCTGTGATCCACAAGTAACATGGATCATAGTAACTTTGATCCACAGAGAGCATGTTTGACAATCTGAGCATTGTATTTAAGTCCCAAAGAGACCCCACCATCCTCTGTAATGTTATATGTGTACTTGTATTGAAAACTAGCAATCACTTGATTAACAAGAGATCCCAGAGGGATCTTGGCGCCCACCATTGTTTGATCTTTATATGCTCTTTGAAAGTTTGCTCTTTTCCCTTCTTTTCTCTTCTCTGCTTTTGCTCTTAATGATAAGATATTTGAACATTCCTTTGCACAAACAACGATGATAATCTTTACCTGCCTATCCAAAATAGTGGCCTGGAAGCCATTTTGTTTCTTTTGATCCGCCCCAAAATCAAAAGATCACAAGGAAAAACCAAATGGAACATACGTATGAAATTTGAGACATCCATTCAGAACTTCATAAGAAATAGCAATAACAATTTTTACTAGGCAAAATCCAAGATGGCTGCCTGTCTGCCATTTTGTTTTTCTGATCAGTTCCAAACTCAAACAGGCACAACTAGGGACCTAGTGGAACCTATACATGAAATTTGAGAAAGATCTATAGAGTAGTTCTCAAGAAATAGTGATAACAAACTTTCAAAGTCAAAATCCAAGATGGTCGTCTGTTAGCCATTCTGTTTTTCTGATCAGACCCAAAATCACACTGTCACCAGAAGGGACTAAGGGCAACCTATATATAAAATCTAAGAAAGATCCATCGAGTACTTCTCTAGAAATAGTAATAACAAACTTTCAAAAATAAGATACAAGATGGCTGCCTGTCAGTCATTTTGGTTTTTTTTTTTCTCGCATCCAAAATCGAACTGGCAGAAGGACCCAGGGCAATCTACCTATCAATTTTTCTCAAGAAATAGTGAAAATAAACTTTCAAAGTCAAAATCCAAGATGGCCACCTTTCATTCATTTTGTTTTTCTGACCAGTCCCAAAATTACACAGACACAACTATAGACCAAGGGGAGACCAATTTGAGAAAAATCCATCCAGTACTTCTCAAGCCAAAGCGCTAACAAAAATTGTTAAGGGACGGACAAACGACAGAGGATGGATGCAGAGACCACAGACGCAGAGACCACAGACGCAGAGCGATTTGAATAGCCTACCATCTGATGATGGAGACCTAAAAATCAACAACTTTTGTTTTAGAATGCAGCTAGAACATAAGGAAAAGCAGTATGGCATGTTTAAAAAATTTTCATCATCAACATTTTAGAAACACACTGTAGTCAGTATTTAAAAGAGATGTACATGATAATAAGCTTTCTGACTTACACAACATCTCTAATCTAAAAGCACTATACAAAAACACAACACTGACTGTCCTAATCTTACTGTCACAATATGTAAAAACAGTCAATTCAAAACAACATCTTGTGCAGCTTCGCACTATCTAATGACAAAGAATGTGCTAATAAATCCCAAACTTCCATAAACATCACTTAATTTTACTTTTTATTAACACTGCTTCATTTCATGTTTAGATCAGTTTTTTAAATGAAATGTAATAAAAAGAAAATGAAATGGTTTCCTATTAAATATCATACTCAATATTGCATGAGTATGACAGATGATATCTGTATTTTTCACTTGTGCTTCACGTTTGTGAAAATATTTTTCATCTGTGCTTTTTACTCGTGAAAAAAATCATATAATATTAAATGGGAAACCATTAAATATCCTCTCTGTATTTCAGCTTCAGTATCTAACTTATCCCCCTTTTTATTTTTGCTCTATCGGTAAAGTTTCCATATATACAGTAGTAATAAGATCACCGGGCATGGTCACTATCTGTAAAAATTCAATTTAAAAGGCTAAACTGAAAAAATTATACTATGCTACAAAACGATTTCATAAATCACACTATATTTAGCACCTGTTTAGATTTGAACACATTGTTATTATTTTACATTAAATTGGTCACTGATTACTGTTAATCACCACACAGAAGCATGAACAGAACTCTAGATTGAGGTAAACCTACCGTGTCAGAGTACTATGGAAAAATGCATAAATGGTACTAAAATGAACTCTGACTTTACAAGACAAAACTGTTAAAATATCAGTTATATACAGATTGCCTAACCATCCTGGAGATTGAACCTCATACAGAACCTCCATATCACTTTATTTCATCATCATTCCAGACAAGTTCATTCAGGGTGATGAAGGTGGCGATGAGAATTCCACACACAAAGGCAACGTAGCTAACATAAACAGCGATACGCGCCCATTTCTTGGCAAGAGCATAAAGTCCCTTACCATTTTGGATCTTAGCACGCCAGGCGTAGCGATTGGCAAACATACCAATAAACAGGCAGCATACGATACTAACATAGGACAAAGCTAGCACCTGGTTAAAAGTGCGATATGGACGAGGTAGCAGCTCTCTCGGTGGCACCTTTTTAACAAGGTGGGGCAATGTTATTGTTGTCTCTTTGTAGGGGTTACTTAAGGTATTCTGGTAAGCTGGCTCTATATTATAAGTCATTACAACAGGTGCCCCCTTGTCATCATCATGCTGTTCCAACAGGGAAACGGCAACCTGGTCCTGACTGGTGACAACAGGGGCCTCTGGAACTTCCTTGGAAGTCTGCTCTTGTGTTTTTGAATTCTCCGTCCCACCATCGTTTACATTGATATGGGTGGTCATAGTTACACAGTTGTTAATTTTTACCAACTGGGATTACTTGATCAGGTAGTGAAGGTTTTTTCACTGAAAAGAAAAACAACATTTTACTATCAACTAATTTCAGACAATTTATCAAATTGATCATATGTAATGTTTCAATGGCTATGTAAACACTATTACCCTCATCAGGCAAATCACCAGCATAACCCTTACAGAATCAACATACACACAAATGAGACATATACATAACATATAGATCACAAGGGATAAGGGAAACATGTGTTAAAGACTTAACAGTTTTTACACTAGCAAACCTTTTTCTGTGATTTAACACGAAATCGATGGTGGAAGGATTTTACAATAAATATTTTCCTCTCTTTGAATGGATATGAAACTTAAAACTTCTTCCAACACTTTGCAATTTCAGGATTTCAGTGAATTTCTCTAAAGCCGTAAGTGCAGATAGAAATTTCACTTGGTAAAAATTGAACTCCAGAACAAATTTGCAATGACTTTGAAAATAAATAGCATATGACTGTTGCTAGGAGTCACTATTAAATTACTGGAATTATTCCACCAATCAAAAGCCATGATTGGTAGTAACAGCTAGTTCCAAAGGCTGCGACAACAGGCTGAAACCATAACATTGTTACATTCATCCTCAATACTCCAGGGGTTATGATCACTTTCACTCTCTGAATTCCTGGAACATGCCATGGCAAAACTGAAGGCAAAAATTGAAGAGAAGTAATATGATTGGTTCCAGGAGAAAAAACCGACCAATCACATGCTGATACGCTCCTTTTGAAGATCACAGAGGAGCGACATCAAACTTCAAAGCCATTACAATATACCCTTATAGGACAACAAGATTCGTTTGATGTACATCAAAGGATCAAATCAGTCTTTTTGACTTGTCCACAAGGGGTCGTACATGGAACCTTCAATTTTGTCCGGACAGATTACAGGGGTGTAGAGAGTGAAAGGGAGTGTAACCCCTGGATTATCGAGGATGTGTTACGCTTAGACTAAAAAATATTGTAACTAAAACCTTGATGGGCCTTATGACTGACCAGTATTCAGTGCTTATGACATTATGACATTGATGTCGGATGGAGGAACTGATACAACACTTTGGCATAAGCTCACTTGGCCCTTCAGCCGGAGCAGCTAAAAATAAACTTAACAAACATATACATTAATGCTGTGAAATGCATCTTGCTGCAACTTTCTTGAAAAAAATAAAATTTCAAACCAATCAAAAAAAGAGGAGCTTTGATTACCTGTTTACCCAATTTCCAGTTAACGACTCTGAAACTTTCTTTAATTTAAATAAACATACTGTCTCTTACAAGGAAGCTGCCAGTCCTGATTTGGCATGAAATTTGCAAAATTTGTTCAATTCATGTAAGTATTCTGGTATGTTCAATATTATGAATATCATACAGAAGCATTAGAGTTTATATTCAAGACAAAAAAGAAGTGAACATTTCCAGATTTTAAGTATTAAGGCAATGTGAATTGGCAGGTTCATGAGTTGTAGAGCTGTGTGGTGTCTGAACTTGTGATGTCAGGAATACTGTAATATTAAGGGAGATCAATTGTTTGATATTTTGTATATAAACAGATAGAAGCAAGTTTCCATCTTTGTTCAAGTGAAGACCAGATGAGGGTTTCCAGCATGTCTGTGATACTGCTGGTATAATCAGGTCGGGGAAAACTTTTAACATATTATACACAATCTGGCCTGATATACACCAATTGGGATATGGATTTGTGATGAAAACTGGCTGAAATCATTCAAACAGTAACTTCTGCAATAAATTGTGAAAAGATTATTGATATTTTACAAATTTGAATCATTTACAATGTATGTATTAGATTTCGCAAAAACAGCTGTCAAATTTCTCCAAAAGATATAAAAGATATAATATAGGCCATGCTTTTTTTTTCTTCAAGAATCAGGCGTGCATAGATTAATATTGATCTAGATGTATGAATACAACCTTTACAGATTCTGTAAGGGGAGAGAACTTTTATAACTGTTTGATGATAAACTTTAAATAAAAGTTTGCTCCAGATTTGCAGAATATATAGACCTAGCGAAGTCATCAACAGCAACTACCGAGCGACTCAGATACAAAACTGCATCTTCACTGTTGTTGATGCTATGGATACATAGGCTACTGGAACAGGTTACAAAACATGCTTCATCAATCTCTCTCAGAGTTCATCGCAGTACCCTAACAACACTTCTGTAAACAGCTCATGTCAGTTCAAGATTCTTGAGAAACGTTTTTGTGTACAGTAATAAAGTATTTCATCATTTTCATGTTCTGTAATTTGTAGAATTATTTTGAAAGTAAGTTTTTCTTTGTCTGGAAAATAACTACATTAGTTTAAATGGTTATAAACTTTATATTGTGGAAGATTAACTTGGATTAAACAGCCAACAACCATTGTGTTTACCGACCATTGTGTTTACTGGCCATTGTGTTTACCATTGTGTTTACCAACCATTGTGTTTACCATTGTGTTTACCATTGTGTTTACCATTGTGTTTACCGACCATTGTGTTTACCATTGTGTTTACCAACCATTGTGTTTACCGAACATTGTGTTTACCGACCATTGTGTTTACCGAACATTGTGTTTACCATTGTGTTTACCATTGTGTTTACCGAACATTGTGTTTACCGACCATTGTGTTTACCGACCATTGTGTTTACCATTGTGTTTACCAACCATTGTGTTTACCATTGTGTTTACCGACCATTGTGTTTACCGAACATTGTGTTTACCGAACATTGTGTTTACCATTGTGTTTACCAACCATTGTGTTTACCATTGTGTTTACCATTGTGTTTACCAACCATTGTGTTTACCATTGTGTTTACCATTGTGTTTACCATTGTGTTTACCGACCATTGTGTTTACCGACCATTGTGTTTACCATTGTGTTTACCATTGTGTTTACCATTGTGTTTACCATTGTGTTTACCAACCATTGTGTTTACCGACCATTGTGTTTACCGACCATTGTGTTTACCATTGTGTTTACCATTGTGTTTACCATTGTGTTTACCATTGTGTTTACCATTGTGTTTACCATTGTGTTTACCATTGTGTTTACCATTGTGTTTACCATTGTGTTTACCATTGTGTTTACCAACCATTGTGTTTACCGAACATTGTGTTTACCATTGTGTTTACCGAACATTGTGTTTACCATTGTGTTTACCGACCATTGTATTTACCATTGTGTTTACCATTGTGTTTACCGAACATTGTATTTACCATTGTGTTTACCATTGTATTTACCATTGTGTTTACCATTGTGTTTACCATTGTGTTTACCATTGTGTTTACCATTGTGTTTACCATTGTGTTTACCATTGTGTTTACCATTGTGTTTACCATTGTGTTTACCATTGTGTTTACCATTGTATTTACCATTGTGTTTACCATTGTGTTTACCATTGTGTTTACCATTGTGTTTACCATTGTGTTTACCATTGTGTTTACCGACCATTGTGTATACCGACCATTGTGTTTACCATTGTGTTTACCGACCATTGTGTTTACCGACCATTGTGTTTACCATTGTGTTTACCGACCATTGTGTTTACCGACCATTGTATTTACCGACCATTGTGTATACCGACCATTGTGTTTACCATTGTGTTTACCGACCATTGTGTTTACTGACCATCGTGTTTACATTTTGTTCTTTCACTTTTCAACTATCAATGTATTCTTAAGATGTTCACATATGATATCAGTGATAACTGATGGTGAATTGGCTACAATATTAGCACATGACCTCTTAGAAAAGGTAAATGATGTTTTTTATGCTGATCGTTTAGAAAAGTTTAGAAATTCCTTCCTATATACTGGACCAACTTTGTGAAATCAGCTTCCCGAAATTATCAGACAATGTGGAACCTTACCAACTTTTAAATTTCATTGTAAAAAATTTATCTCCAATTTACCAACCTAGTTCCACATTTTTATTATATTATTAGTCTCTCTATAACCTTTATATATACCTCTTCACTATGTGCCTTTATCATTACATTTGTTTTATTGATGTACATCTTCGTCCTTCATGATTGTGCTATTTACTGTGATATTTGTGAATTTTATATCATATGTGATGCTGTAATCTTAATGTTGTATATATTGTACATTTTACTGTCGACCACTTGTTAGAAGAGTCTTGTACTCAAAGTGTTATCGACTCTTAAATAAAGTCATTTATTATTATTATTATTCATTATTATTTATTATTGATGACATACAAAAGTCTGTCCTTCTTGATGCTGTAAGGGATGCCACCATAGTTTTGCATCTATAATCATATTTCGCCTGAGTAAAACTGTTTGATAATCCTCTAATTTAAAATGTCAGACTATACTTTTAACAGAATCCATTTGACTTACACAGATGCAGATATGGATTAGCTTAAAATATTGAAAATAAACTGTCTTAACTGAGATATAAGTATTGAATCTAGCTTTTGTCTATTACATGGGACAACTTCATTAGATGCTTTGCAGTTCATTAAAACTTGTCTCAAGAGAGACTCAATTCATCACTCCATGAAATCCACAAAAGCCAGATTCATTGCTTAAAAAAATGCGACATGGGCAAAAAAAATTTAAAAGGTCAAGTTTAAAGTGATTTTGGCTATTTCAATCCCTACTGGTGAATAATAGATCAGTTTGCATAATATATGCCAATTTGTGATTTTCACCAACCTGATAATTGTAGTGACCAAATGTGACTCTGGTGACTAAGCTTCGGATCATTGAAATGTATTACTTTGTTTCCTACAATAAATGCATCACATCTACATTATTTAAGTCAATTTAGGTGTGCTTGTGAAATTTGTTTATATATATGTATACCGGTATATCAAACTTGGGTGAAATTAGGACTGGTCATTCAAATCTGAAACCTACGGATCAACAACCTTACTGTATATAATGCTTTATATATTGAGTAAGGGTACACAATACCACACACTACGAAAATTTGCACACTCTATATCTGAATATCATTAGTTTTCAGAATTTCAGCATAAAAAGTTGGGTTTGTGCACTCACATAAATCTGGGAGCATTGTACTATAAAGTAGGAGTCAAATGGATGGTATCTTAATTTAGTCAATTGATTTATGCTTGACAGGTATAATTCCGAAACTGTGCATTTTGAGTTTTACATCTATGTCCCACATCCAGCACAGGTGTGTTTGTGTATAGTGGAATAATTCATGATCACCTGAACCGTTTAAACCGGAATTCCACGAATGCAGCCTCGATGTATGTCATGACCTCATCTTAACCAACCGTCTACCTGGGACCAGTCACGAGTCCTGACCAATGGTCTACTATTGTTTGGGTAGAGAACAATCAGCCATGTACAAGTATGTCCCCAAGTGTAGCGATCAGTGAGGATTAACTTGAAGTGGGAGACGCTAATTAGATATTTGGACTGTGTACTCACCTAGCTAGGCCTTGATTATGTGGTCAGCCTTACCAATTAGATAAATACAGCAAGGTTACTTATGACCTAGCTAGTGAAATCTCTGAAATGGGGAGAGTCCCCGATTTTGATCCATACGATCGGGAAGCGGGGCTGGGGAGTGACAGAATCAGGAAAGTTGGCAGGTATGGCTGTGCAAAACAACAACCATACGCAGTAATATGCATGCCCAATATTACTGAGTATTTGTACATCTAATATTGTCAGACAATCTTTACCTTTTTAAAATATGTATGATACAAATTCATATCAATATGTTCCAAACGTGTGTGAAATCAAGTACATTCACTCTATATATTCAGAGACGTATATAACACAAATATATACGTCTCTGATATATTACAATAGGTCTACTGTAGACTTAATAAGGATCATGTAATTTTAGGGAGTGCCTATTCACACGAGTCCTTCAGAAACTATAATTCCTGCGATTTTAATGCAAAAGTAGAGCTCGGTCGTTTATTTTAACTTTATTTATTATAAGGGGTCTTCGGTAGGACTCGGTAGATATATAGTAGATACTGCAGAAATGAAACCGGAAACGAACCGATACTAAAGATTACACCAAGCGCTTAGTGTAACACCTCCGTGACAGCGATCTGACCGAATTATCCCAATCGTTACCTCCAATACTCTTACTTTACATTACACATGTGTTGGAAAGAAAAGTGAAACGGATATGATAATGTGTGAACCTACCTCTCCACAGATTCGCGTGGTCTCCTCGGAGTACGCCTGTAACTGGGTCGTTTCAACTTCCTGGCTTAACCAGTTGCACCAGCCTTTTTCGTTTTATAATATGATGTAAGAATGGACCTATGCTTCGTTTCAGAGAAAACTGACAAAATTTACAAAACGTCTACATAATTGTTCTGGTATATTATACATCACTGGTTCTGATTTACCACAAGGATATATTTGCTATTGGTTAGATGTTCAATCGGATCGTTTGCATAAACGAAAGCGACCGAAAAAATAATCGTTTCGCTGAAGTGCATGAAAAATCAAAGAGATATTTGCTGTGTGTGAAAAAAATGTTTTAAAGAAATACTGACAGACAGGTCTTAAAGGGGGTTTTCTACATATTTTTTAGGAGAGGCATTTGGTCATTTGCATCAGCAGGTGTACAAATCACCATCCGATCAGTATTTCTTGAGACACTCTGGGTGGATCTTTCTCAAATTTCGTCAGGTTCTTATTTAAAATGGTACTTCATTTCTGTTTTTGTCCCTAGTTTGGTTCTGACCATTTTCAGTTGATTGGGAAAAAAAAGGCTGAAAGTCAGCCATCTTGAATATTAACATTTGTAATAGTATTTTCTTGTCGGGGATTAATCTTACTCGGTTGTGTGGCTGCCTTTCGAGTTAAATCCGAAGAAAATTTTGTGCGAATTTCAGTGGTACCCGTGGCATGCCTTTTACAGCCCAGACAATTCTAGTCACGGGAATTTCAAGTGACAATATATTATTATATTGTAAAAAGAAGCTGCAATGACAGAAAATATGTTATCACCTATCAGACATAAGTTATGTTTTAATTTTTTAAAAGAAATTATAAATCATTGACCAAAACAAGATCCTTGTAAGTTCATCCAGGCAAGAATCTGTTAAAAACGTTAACTTTGTGACATACAAATTATCATACGTTTGTATAGAATCAACAGACACAATGTGCATGATATAATATTTCAACTATAACAGTGAATAGGCAAAGTTTATCAATTCAACACATGTGTACTGAATTCCTAAAATAGCTAGGGCTTACAAAATGTTCTGAGATAGAAACTAATAACAAATTTAACTCCAGATAGAGATAACTCCATTGGCAGCTGTTCTAAATTCCAGTCTGATTAAGATACAGAGCTTAATTTACCACTCCTAATGTAAATATATTGTGGATATTCCTATTTGGTCCCTAATCATATATAGTTGATTTTATAACATTGGTTAGAAGAGAAAAGAAGTGAAAAAATCCAGAAGATCATGTGATGGTAGCCACATCCATGATCCATCAGAGAAAACTGACGGTTTTCAAGTCATTTACCAATGTTTATTATAATTTCAAACTACTAGTTTGAGATATTTCAGGATCATGGTATAAAAATTAAGGACTGAATTTTATGTAGCACTTTCTAATTTTCAATGTCAAGATCTCATTTATATGGGAAGGGTCTAAATTTTATACATCATTTATTTGGGAAGGGTCTAAATTTTATACATCATTTATTTGGGAAGGGTCTAAATTTTATACATCATTTATTTGGGAAGGGTCTAAATTTTATACATCATTTATTTGGGAAGGGTCTAAATTTTATACATCATTTATTTGGGAAGGGTCTAAATTTTATACATCAGAGTTTAACACCTTGTCAATAGATATTGTGTCGTTATTGCATAACTTGAATGTCTTACTGGTATGTGCTTTGTTAAACGCTAACTGGTAGGTCCTGTCTCTGAAGTGTAAATATTTTTAAATTTACTATCGGCAGTTTCTGTCCTTACATCTATACAGAAGTATTGGTGATACCAGAAAGTTGACAGACAGCGAGATATATAGGTAGATACCGGTCAACTCATGACAAGTTCCTATGATCTTGGACCTATCATGTTAATAAATCAATGATATGTAGACAAGTTCTTCCAGGTAAAAACAAAAGATCCTAGAGGGATTTTGGCACCCACCATTGTTGGATCTTTATTTGTTCTTTAAAAAATTGATATTTTACCTTTTTTTTCTCTTCTCTCCTCTGTTTTTGCTCTTCATGATATGAAATTTGAACATTCCTTTGCAGAAATATTCAAAAATATGCATCCAGTATTTTTCAAGAAGCAGCAATAACAATCTTTCAAAGTCAAAATCAAAGATGGCCGCCTGTTTGCCATATTGATTTTATAATCAGTTCCAAAATCAAACAAGTACACATAGATATCAAGGGGAACCTACAAATGAAATTTGAAAGAGATCCATCCCGTACTTTTCCAGGAATAGCAGTAACAAAGACTGTTCATAGACAGACCACGGACCTTGGGTGATTTGAATTGCCCACAATCATCAGATGGTGGGCTAAAAAACAGTATAAAACTATCAGGAAACATGACATTTCTTGAATTTTTATGAATCAACATATTTATTCCAGGTAATATGAACAGGATTTGTAAACACAGACTTCATGCACACAGATTTATTCCATAATTTTTTATCACATTAGTAAATAACTTAAACCTGATATTCATACGATTATAATTCAACGCTCGGTGTAGGGTTGTTTCTTACTGAGACAGCAGGATTTCTCAGACTTATCTTCTTTTCCAATAGCATCAAGTGACCATATATATAAACACACAAAAACATCTGCATTAAGAAATTGACAGAAATGTGACTAGGGTGATATCAAACCAGAGGCCCAATGGGCCTGCACCGCTAGAGTAGCGTTCAATATTCATCAAAAATAGAATCTGTGTTAACATTACAGATATATTGTCATGTACACCATTGGCATTCAACATGGGCACACCAATTAATTTTCACAAATTTCCACAACAAACAGTTTCTAATACTCAACTGCAAACAGTGACAATTGTCACCAGTATTATAGGTAAATGCCATTTCTTTTTTTTCTCAAAATTTATTTGGCTTTCACCTAGAAACACTTTTCAACCAAATACCCTGCCTCTTGAACTTTTGGTTTACCAGCAGAAAATTTTACCAGGTTCAACAAATTTGATCCCTGTGACCATCAATATGGGTCAAGGTCCATTCTTTCTGCAAACTTTGTCAGGCTTCATCCCAGGAAGCTATAGGTCAAATACCTTGCTCCTGTGCCTTTTGGTTAGTCAGAAGAAGTCATTATAAGGTTTCAACCAATTTAACCCCTGTGACCATAAATAAATGTCAAGGTCATTTCTTTTCAAAAACTTTCACTGCCTTCATACTAGAAACCTATCACCTAACTAACATGCTTCTGCACCTTTTGCTTGCAAGCTTTGTTAGCTTCATCCTGGAAACCTGTCAGCCAAATATCTTTACTTGTATTTTATATGACCTACTCCCTGAATTACTTGCCCCTGCTCTAATAATCTTCCATGATGTGTACCTCAAATCTCCTACATGTAAATATTAACAATAACCAAGACCATAGCAACAACTTCATCATTATAAATATGGGAAGAAAAAAAGTTTTAAAAAATCATGGTATCCCAAATGGGATTATTAAAAGGAAATTTGTCTTTATAAAGTTACCTATTCATGCAACCATTACCATTAAGAGCGAAATAAAATAAGAATTCTGCGAAGTTTTTCTACTAGTAAAGAACTATAACTGTTATATACTTTGTCATATCGATACATGGACTCCATTACAATGCTGCTACTTCTGTATCCTACCCAAAAAAATACAATGCCACAGGAACATTTCTCGTTTTTAATTTAAATATTAAAGTTCACTGATATTCCTTGGTTAAGTGACACAATAACTTGTAAAGATATACACAAATATTAAAAGTCCAGTATGAAATGATACAGATGATGTTCCAGATGCTATTTTTACCTTAAGAATGTCAGTGATCATAATACCATTTCAATTTTGTAGGATGCACTGACCTACATGTAGTCCCAAGGATACCAAAAGACTTTATAGACTTTATGTGAGATAGTTAAGGAACTATGATCCCAAGACAGTGTTTACTCTCAAAGCTCAAAATAAACTCACAGTCACAGTAATCTAGTTCTGGCATTCCCATGATAAACCGTCACCAAAATCTAGTTCCTGAAAGTGTTTACTCTCAAAGCTCAAAATATACACACAGTCACAGTAACCTAGTTCTGGCATTCCCATGATAAACATTTACCAAAATCTAGTTCCTAAAAGTGTTTACTCTCAAAGCTCAAAATATACACACAGTCATAGTAACCTAGTTCTGGCATTCCAATGATAAACCTTCACCAAAATCTAAGAGATGCCCCGTACAGGTCAGAAGTAAATCAAATCACAATGATCTACTTTTGAGGCAACACACACATTCAACCCAGAATGTACATAAATCTTGCGGAATACACATCAAATGGTAGTTAAGATGCACCTCAGAAACGAAACAGGGTGAGCATTTTGCTTCAGAAGGACAAAATCATGTAGGTAGACCCCAACAGTTGAAAAGTCCGATGAAGTCCATATAAAGGCACATGTGAGTTTAGTCGTAAAATGTGGTAAAAGTAACCAGGTGATGCTGATTTATGATATCTCTATCACCAAAACAGAAGGTCAAATGAGGTCATATGACACATCATCTTTTCATACTGTTCTCACATCGTATAGCTAGGAGGCCATATTTTAAACAATGGCTGAGAAGTGTTCTGGAAATCTTTAACCCAAGACCAAAGGTCAATAAAGGTTATAAGAACCTCATTTTTGTATGTAATGCAGTGTCTTTTTTATGTACCTTCAAAGAGTAAACCTTGACATTCAATCCAGTACAATCCTGGACAACAGGACATACACCTAGTCATTCTATCTTGTACAATCCTGGACAACAGGACATACTTCTAGTCATTATATCAGTACAATCCTGGACAACAGGACATACACCTAGTCATTCTATCTTGTACAATCCTGGACAACAGGACATACACCTAGTCATTCTATCTAGTACAATCCTGGACAACAGGACATACACCTTGTTCTTCTATCTTGTACAATCCTGGACAACAGGACATACATCTAGTCATTCTATCTTGTACAATCCTGGACAACAGGACATACATCGAGTCATTCTATCTAGTACAATCCTGGACAACAGGACATAATCTAGTCATTCTATCTAGTACAATCCTGGACAACAGGACATACACCTTGTTCTTCTATCTAGTACAATCCTGGACAACAGGACATACATTTAGTCATTATATCAGTACAATCCTGGACAACAGGACATACACCTAGTCATTCTATCCAGTACAATCCTGAACAACTGGACATACACACTTATTCATTCAGTCCAGTACAATAGTAAAAAGTTTCTATTATGACATTCTAATAAGGATGATGACCATGTGACATTATCAATAACTTGTACTTGAAGTTTGTGAAAACATTTTCAGCATTGCAGAAACAATATGTGGTTAGCTGTAGGTTTCTAGATTTAGTTAGGCATGAAATCTCTTCTAATTCTCCTAAAAAATTACCTTTAATAAGGATTTTCTATCAAATACACATAACATACAAACAAAGCATACATTACAACTTGATTTACTATAGTTTTCCATGTAGAAATTTCTCACAGAAGATTATCCTAGTGTCAGAGTTATTTCAACAGAATGAAATTTCTGAAATTTGATCAGCTTGATTTTGACGTCTGTCGCTGTACAGCCTGTAATGTACCGATGCCTTCATGTCTCTGGACAGCATTCTTCATCCGGTTATACCAGGGTTTTATTTTTGTCCTTTCTAAAGTGTCCTTGAAAGCATCACATCCTTCTATAGAGCTGAGCACACCATACACAGACTGTACATAGAAATAACAAATAAAATATAACTAGGTAGAAATAACAGATTACAGGTTCACTGTCTCTCTACAGAGTCAGGTACACACAGACTGTACATAGAAACAACAGATTACAGGTTCACTGTCTCTCTACAGAGTTAGGTATACACAGACTGTACATAGAAATAACAGATTACAGGTTCACTGTCTCTCTACAGAGTTAGGTATACACAGACTGTACATAGAAATAACAGATTACAGGTTCACTGTCTCTCTACAGAGTTAGGTATACACAGACTGTACACAGAAACAACAGGTTACAGGTTCACTGTCTCTCTACAGAGTCAGGTATACACAGACTGTACATAGAAATAACAGATTACAGGTTCACTGTCTCTCTACAGAGTTAGGTATACACAGACTTTACACAGAAACAACAGGTTACAGGTTCACTGTCTCTCTACAGAGTCAGGTACACACAGACTGTACATAGAAATAACAGATTACAGGTTCACTGTCTCTCTACAGAGTTAGGTATACACAGACTGTACATAGAAATAACAGATTACAGGTTCACTGTCTCTCTACAGAGTTAGGTATACACAGACTTTACACAGAAACAACAGATTACAGGTTCACTGTCTCTCTACAGAGTTAGGTATACACAGACTTTACACAGAAACAACAGATTACAGGTTCACTGTCTCTCTACAGAGTTAGGTATACACAGACTTTACACAGAAACAACAGATTACAGGTTCACTGTCTCTCTACCGAGTTAGGTATACACAGACTTTACACAGAAACAATAGATTACAGGTTCACTGTCTCTCTACAGAGTTAGGTATACACAGACTACGCAGAAACAACAGGTTACAGGTTCACTGTCTCTCTACCGAGTTAGGTATACACAGACTACACAGAAACAACAGGTTACAGGTTCACTGTCTCTCTACAGAGTTAGGTATACACAGACTGTACACAGAAACAACAGGTTACAGGTTCACTTTCTCTCTACAGAGTTAGGTATACACAGACTTTACACAGAAACAACAGATTACAGGTTCACTGTCTCTCTACAGAGTTAGGTATACACAGACTTTACACAGAAACAACAGATTACAGGTTCACTGTCTCTCTACCGAGTTAGGTATACACAGACTTTACACAGAAACAATAGATTACAGGTTCACTGTCTCTCTACAGAGTTAGGTATACACAGACTACGCAGAAACAACAGGTTACAGGTTCACTGTCTCTCTACCGAGTTAGGTATACACAGACTACACAGAAACAACAGGTTACAGGTTCACTGTCTCTCTACAGAGTTAGGTATACACAGACTGTACACAGAAACAACAGGTTACAGGTTCACTTTCTCTCTACAGAGTTAGGTATACACAGACTTTACACAGAAACAACAGATTACAGGTTCACTGTCTCTCTACAGAGTCAGGTAAACACAGACTGTCCATAGAAATAACAGGTTACAGGTTCACTTTCTCTCTACAGAGTTAGGTATACACAGACTTTACACAGAAACAACAGATTACAGGTTCACCGTCTCTCTACAGAGTTAGGTACACACAGACTGTACATAGAAATAACAGATTACAGGTTCACTGTCTCTCTACAGAGTTAGGTATACACAGACTGTACATAGAAATAACAGATTACAGGTTCACTGTCTCTCTACCGAGTTAGGTATACACAGACTTTACACAGAAACAACAGATTACAGGTTCACCGTCTCTCTACAGAGTTAGGTATACACAGACTTTACACAGAAACAACAGATTACAGGTTCACTGTCTCTCTTCAGAGTTAGGTATACACAGACTTTACACAGAAACAACAGATTACAGGTTCACCGTCTCTCTACAGAGTTAGGTATACACAGACTTTACACAGAAACAACAGATTACAGGTTCACTGTCTCTCTTCAGAGTTAGGTATACACAGACTTTACACAGAAACAACAGATTACAGGTTCACTGTCTCTCTACAGAGTTAGGTATACACAGACTTTACACAGAAACAACAGATTACAGGTTCACTGTCTCTCTTCAGAGTTAGGTATACACAGACTTTACACAGAAACAACAGATTACAGGTTCACTGTCTCTCTTCAGAGTTAGGTATACACAGACTTTACACAGAAACAACAGATTACAGGTTCACCGTCTCTCTACAGAGTTAGGTATACACAGACTTTACACAGAAACAACAGATTACAGGTTCACTTTCTCTCTTCAGAGTTAGGTATACACAGACTTTACACAGAAACAACAGATTACAGGTTCACTTCCAGTCTATATTGTTAGTTTTACCCAATCTGTGTACCTGTTTATACCTTTGGTAGTTTGATACACCTGTTGACATTTTAATAGACCTGTAATAATTCTCAGCACAGTACTCCTTGAGTCTCCTGTTTATAACTAAATGTCTGTGAGTTGTAACAACATACTTGCTTATAACTATCTAACTGTGAAATTCCCACACTTGCAGTTTTTTACTCGTAATGAAGCTAATATACTTACCAGATCTGCCAGGTTTGGTTTGTCTCCGCCGAGAAACTTCCTATTCCTACCAACAGCCTTTACCCACACATCACACTCATTGTACAGAGATACACGCACATCATTGTGTAGGTTATACCTGGTCAAAAAAAGGAAAGTAGGTCAGGACACCATCAATAATATGGTCAGGACACCATCAACAGTACACTGATTACGTAATGGAGAGGTCTCTCGAGTGGTCGGGTGGCGCACTCACCTTTCACCTAGCCGACTGGGGTTCGATTCCCGGAACGGACGTGAAAAGGTAAGGGGTCACCTGCCCGACCACGTGGGTTTTCCCCGGGTACTCCGGTTTCCTCCCACAATAAGAGCCCTCGCGCGCTTACATCAGGAGTGATTAGTAAAAGTTGACATAACTTGTTTCACAATTGTTGTAAAATAAATAGAGTTTATGAAAAAAAAGAGGTCTCTAAATCTAAAGGGCACAACTAGGCACCGAGGGAAACCTAAGATATAACAGAAAGATTCATTCAGTTCTTCTCAAGAAATAATGATGACAATCTTTCATAGTCAAAGACCAAGATGGCTGGCTGTCAGTCATTTTGTTTTTATTATCAGTCCCAAAGTTAAATGAGTGCAACTAGGGACCACTAGGAACCTACGTATGAAATCTGAAATAGATCTATTCAAGACCTCAAGAAATAGTGATACAAATCTTTCATAGTCAAAATCTGAGACGGCTATCTGTCAACAATATTATTTTTCCGTTCAGTCCCAAAATAAAAAAAAACACAACTAGGCTTCAAAGGGAACCAACCAATGAAATTTGAGGAAGTTTTATCCAGTGCCCCTATAGAAACAGTGATAACAAATACTGTTTACAGACAGACAACATGTAGGATTTACATAGCTCACCATCTGATGATGGAGGCTTAAAGACTGACTCAATTACCATGAAGTTAAAGTAATCACACCTGATTCAGGCTCTGAGAAATTAATTTGTTTTAAATATTAAGTAACCAGTTTTCTTTTAAGAGGAAAGCATTCATACATACAAATACTTGGGTAATCAGTAAAACCAGTTTGTCACTTAGAGTTTAATAACTATGCTTAATTAACAAAATCTTTTTTTACATACTTTGTGATAAATTATCATTCAACGATTTAATACTAAATCATTAACATACCAAAAGAGGGAATATCATGTCCTATAATATACTATTAATTTTCTTACCTCTTTTTCAAAACTTTTCCAAGGAAGTACATGGCTGTGGCTCCCGTGTAAATAACAAACATTCTCATAGGAAAGCTGAAGACATTCTCCCACTCGCCAACCTCTGAGAAGTACCTGAATGCCTGGAGTGCTTCTGAGGGTGTTCTGTACACATTGGGGGATAGCATGTGGACCAGGGTTTTATCTGTCCAGGTTCTCCAGGTCCTTTCCTCCCTAAATCATTTATTAATTAATGTCACTCTAATGTGGTACTTAGTGTCCTAACATACAATGAGAAGAGATCTCAAGCATCTTGGCACCAAGCATAATACAACTTTCATTAGCTTGCTACTTCTGTGTTAACTTTTCTCTACCTTTCCATTCTTTGATGTTCTGAAGTAAATGACTTACGTAATAATGCCTTCAAAATTCAAAAATCACTTTTGATCAGACTTTTTTTTCAAAATTTTTTCTTCCTTTCCTCAGTCATTGGAAAGCTAGTTACATTATGAAATTTAAGAAGCGATCATTCAAAATTTTCTGACTACCTGGTAATACAATGTAGGGAAGACAATTTTAACTGTTCATTTCACAGAACCATTTTTTTCCTCCAAGTAGACATAAAGTTAAAAATTAACAATTAACCAAAAGTAAAGAGAGCTACCGAATATCAGAGAGATTTATCCTATATTTTCTATGATAGTCTTAACAAAAGATTATTGCAAATGATGTTTAACATGATAAGTTTCAGATGCAAGTTTTTGTGAATGGTTTAGGAAGTGTGCAGACTAGCAGGGAAGGGAGCCAGGACTAACATCCAATTTATAATAACATTTGTTCTTCTTACATTTGTTGTTTTCTGAGAAATCAGAAAAAATCCTGACACTTACATTTGTTGTTTTGGTGTTTGGCCATCAGAAACATCGTCATACTTACATTAATTGTTCTGTTGTTCTGTCATCAGAAACATCCTCATACTTACATTAATTGTTCTGTCATCAGAAACATCGTCATACTTACATTAATTGTTCTGTCATCAGAAACATCCTCATACTTACATTAATTGTTCTGTCATCAGAAACATCCTCATACTTACATTAATTGTTCTGTCATCAGAAACATCCTCATACTTACATTAATTGTTCTGTCATCAGAAACATCCTCATACTTACATTAATTGTTCTGTTGTTCTGTCATCAGAAACATCCTCATACTTACATTAATTGTTCTGTCATCAGAAACATCCTCATACTTACATTAATTGTTCTGTTGTCCTGTCATCAGAAACATCCTCATACTTACATCTGCTGTTCTGTTGTTCGGCCATCAGAAGCATCCTCTTGGTACATGATAGCATACTTGTTCAAAAAATCATTGACGTTTTTGTTTTTGACTTCATCAAAGACTTCGACTTGAGGGTAGAAAGACTTGATAACGTTTACAGTTTTGGTTGGATCCAGAAGGTAGGTGTACAGGATGCTCATCACTACAGATGAATCATTCAGTTGCTATGGAAACAAAACCAAACCAGTCTAAATGATCAAATACTGTAAACATATCTCATTTTTTATCATTATAAAGCACAATACTTTCTGCATGAAACACTAAAGTAAGAGTATGTCTATAGTATGAATGTTTAGAGTATACAGATGTTCTACAATATATAGACTTTATTCTAGAAATGTTGTACATTTCTCTTTTCATACCAATCATGTTACAAAGTACTGTATATTTTTGACAATAAGCCCATATGAGATGAAAAGCCTGTCCATATCTATTTCTATTTTGTGGCATTAAAAATAATCACTCTTTCTCTGCCCTGTAATAAGTCTAACATCAAGTAAGAAATGATGAACTTACTACAGGATAAAATAGAGGGCATAATATCATCTTCACTGGGATAGACAGTACTTTCCATTCATAGTTTTTTTTTAAAGCGCATTAATTGGCACATCGAAGATGTGAACCAATTGCAAATATGTGTATCCCTTGAATGTAACAGGAAAATTATTTCTTCAGTGTTTCCACCAAGGATGAAACCCTTAACCTCTGACTTAATAGTATCTACCCTGATTAAAAAACTACAGGTCATAGAAGAAGTTCAAGATATATGAGACATGGATATGATTCAGAGTAATCTGCATTTTAATCATCATTAATAAAGTTCAAATGGAATAAAACTGATAACTTCATTATTTCTAACTGATTGATTGATATCTTAACCAATTAAGATTTGTAGAACTTACTATTTGTTCCTCATTGCCTTGTGCTTGGAACACAAGTATAGGAACTTTCTTATACTGCGACCATTTGATCTCCGACCTTAACACTGAATTCACTTCCACCACATCATATGATAACCCATAATAGTCCAGTAGGGCACGGAGTTTACAGCAAAACGGACACGTCTGATACTGATACAGAACCAACTTCATACCAGTTTTATCAGTTGGTATACGGATCTGGAAAAAGACAAGTTCAGGGACATTTATAACGAAGAAATACATTAAATATGAAAAGTGATGATACCAAAATTCTATATATAGTAACCTTGTTTTAGATCCCAGAACATTTAAACAAAACTATAAAATGCAGCGCAAGGGATGTCATTTTGAAACACATAAGTTCTTTATAATGAAGACTATTGAGGATTGATTTTTTTATTTTCAGTGCAATTAAGTATATTGGGGTAACTAAATATTATTTGATTCATGTTCACATAAATATTGATAAATACATGAATGTTTGTGTAAATAATAGTAAATACACACACTGATTGGTAAGCTGCATCCAGAGACAATGCAATACAAGTGTTAATATTGATATAGATATGTAAGTTGACATTTTTGAATGAATAAAGACAAATACTTTACTATTCAGAGACAGACAAAATGAATTCAGGGTATGTACATCAGGAATCAATATAAATAACAATCTAGACAGATAATCCATGCAGACAAACATTTGAAACCTTTTCATATGTCTTGACCTACATCCTGGCCTGAAACTTTTGACAACTTGACTGAAAAGTAGGCAGAGCTTCTACGTCATCAGTGGTTTTGAACAAAATTGTCATGTCTTTGGTTTTTGTTGAATTTAGTTGATATTGCAACGATTACAACACTTTTATATAATATAGACTAAAATTATTTCAGAATAGGGATAGTGTTATGTAGACATTTCCTTTTGCTTCATGTACAGTATATTTTATTGTGGTTGTTTCTTCTTCTAGTTTAAAATACAAATATATGTGATGTCATGAGGCCAACCCAGGTATGTCGAAAGTTAAAATTAGAAGAGAGACAAGAAATTGTTTAAAGCAAATCCAGTTACAACAAAACCCCACCCTCTCCATAATTCAGATCCCTTTCTATAACTCTGCAAGCTTTGATATTTGGTCCCAGTATTTTCCACACAAAATTCATGTACAGATATAGAAGGAAGTTAGAATGATTACAAAGAATGACCAATAAGCATAACGTATGATTATCCTTTCTCTGAAATAAGCTCATAACATGTTGTAGAACCAGTGAATTCAGGTGCAGAATCCTCTTACTGACATCTACCTAAATTAAATGCCTTCGACCACGATTTTGGTTTTTATTCGATCTATAACATCATAATCTCAAAAGCACTACCACCAAATATATGACGCCAGTGAAATGTGTGCTGATACCATTTTTTTAGGCTGTCAAAATTACTTGTTATGCACGAGTGAGAACTGTTTTCTTCATGATACTCTTAATGTACAGTTTACTGTTTTTCAAAACGTTACGTGTTAATGTTTAAATTATCAAGCATTTTTGTAACAAATTTACCTCTCTAAACAGCAATTGCCACTTAAATGCTGGGCCATTACGCATATACGCAAGTGTGAACAACTTGCATAAGCAATAACGTTTACAGAATTTAGCTTTTTTTCGCAGAACAATCATTTTGTGTTTGCTTAATTTATATATCTCATGAATTTTCAAAGCACCAAGGTATGGTTAACCGGATATGGTCGCGAGTATAACAGTATTTCCAGTATTTGGACGAAATGTCTAACAGTTATCACCTTATTACATGTAACAGGAGGGAGAGGGGGGTCAACAGTTACCCTCAGCTGGCCATTGGTGAAAGAAAATGTCATTCGCGTTTATTCTTTGATCATTATACCAAGTGTAATTCACCTGTCTCGAAGGTTGGATGTTAGGAATCTCATGGTTATCTTCATTATGCACTGTAGTGTTGCGTAAACCATATCTAATACCAACAAATGCGGTCGTCAGTGTACCGATTCCAACTGCGATCAAACGCTTTGACCTTGGCGCTCTAGGATCTGATGATGTCGATTTTGAACTGTAGAATCTGAAAGATGATGTATATCGAAAGAGATTCTGGTTAGGTACTGCTGCGTTCGTTAAGAACCTGGATTTTCCTACAAGGCATTTTATATTATAACTCAGTCTCCTACACGAAGACCTTATGGGGGCCGCCATGTTGTATAATACCGGAACCGGAATTCGAACACCTATCATTGGCAATGCGTAAAATACAGATCTTCTCATTAAATTTTGCTCTTTGGAGATTCACCTATCAGTACTAAGACGCTTTCTACTTTTCATCTTTTTTGTACGTGTGTTTTTAAGGCTGGGTTGGATAAGCCAGGATGAAAATTCTAAAAACTCGGGACACGTTCAATGCACATCGAATCATTATAACGACAGAGACAAATTAAAGAAACTTTCTTGTGCTTAATATAACACCTCACCTACAGTCTGTTTATCCTCACCTGCAGTCAAATTCTGTCTCCTCACCTAAAGTTTACCCTCACTTACAACAATGGGACATGTGTCTCTTCTGTATTAAAAGACAAGTAGTATCCCCTCACCTATAGACAGCCTGTTTATCCTCAATTAAAAAGAGACTGTCCTCAACTTGACACTTCATCTAGACAGGTTGTGTCTCCTCATCTACAGATGGACAGTCTCCACCACTAGAGAGAATGTCTCCTAACCTACAGCTTCTTAAACAGAATGTGTCCCACCACCTACAAAATTTCCTCATTTAAAGACTATTTCTTCACCTAGTTTATCCTCATCTACAGATTGTACCTAGATTCTCATATAGAGACAGACCGTTTCTCAACTACGGAAAGGCTGCGTCTTCTCACCTAAAGATTATATCTAAAAACCAAAAGATTGTATCTCCCCACCTATTGGCAAGTTATTTCCTCACCTAGACAACTGTATGTATCCTCACCTAGACAACTGTATGTATCCTCACCTAGACAACTGTATGTATCCTCACATAGACAGATTTTGTAATCTTCCATGGAGATTTGTCCTCACCTACGATGTATCCTCAAATAGAGTGTGTCCTCACTTACCGACTTTCCTCATCTAGACACACTCTTCTCACCTACACATAAACAACGTCTCCTCACCTACACTGTGTCTCCTCATCTACCAAGAAACTGTCTCCTTACCTTCAGACAAGGTGTCTCCACACCTACATCCGGACTGTGTGTCCTCACCTATTGATGTCTCCTCACCTTCAGACAGGCTGTCTCCCCCCTACAGCTACAGACAAGTCTTGTTTCCTCATTTAAAGACAAGTTGTGATTCCTCATTTAAAGACCGTCTCCTCAACTATTCAGAGACCATGTTTCCTCATCTACCGAGACATTAGTCACCTCACCTACAGGCTGGTTTTATTTCCTCACCTACAGACAGTGTCTCCTCACCTACTGACAATGTCTACTCTCATACAGAGTGTCTCCTCACCTACTGACAATGTCTACTCTCATACAGACAGTGTCTCCTCACCTACAGACTATGTCTACTCTCCGACAGACAGTGTCTCCTCACCTACAGACAAGTTGTGTTTTCTCACCTATAGACAATGTCTCCTAAATTACAAGCAGGCTGTGTCTCCTACTTCTTGAAGGACTAAGATAAATACTGTAGCTTTTAGTAATATAACTGTAACAGAGGTCATTTTTTATCTAAATGCCTCCGCTAGGAATACCTCTGACCCCTGGCTTTACTATTCAACGCTCAACCAATCGAGCTAAAGAGAAGTTCTCTATATATAATACACGAGTGGTATATTGAATTTGCTAGTAACACACCAGGGTTGAACTTTGTTCCCCCTTCATACAGAAATTAATCTGGTCCTCGAGTTTCCAGGGTCACAGCGGTACTTGTGAAAGTAACGCTGGTGGTACCACATAGTTTCCAGGGGTTACAGCTACGCCGGTGGGGCATGGCTAAGTACTATTCCCGGGTCCCTACATTGGCGCCCATGTAACAGAGGTCATTTTTTATCTAAATGCCTCAAAACTTTGCAATCTGAGTAAAAAGGACATCAAATACACACTTGTCCCCTTATTTTACAAATAAACTTTTGTGCTCAACCAATCGAGCTAAAGAGAAGTTCTCTCTAGCCGAGTGGTATATTGCGGCTAGTAATTTACCAGGGTTACATAACCACCAATAAAAGCTGCTTATTTTTTAAATAAAAATGAAACAACCTAAATACCTCTGACAACATAATTTTATTCCATTTCATTCAATATAATGTACTGGTACACATAGTTTGGTTGATAAGTATACGACATGTATTTATATATATAATACACAAACAAGATACCAGTGTCTGTTGAATTTGCAGTCAACACAACCACTTTGAACTTTGTTTAGCCTACAAATCATACAGATAATTAATCTGGGTCCTAGTCACGGCAAAGGATCATCAAATCTGTACAGCATGTACTAGGCTTTATACAGCACAAACAAGAAACTGATCAGCACCACATAAGGTCATTAAACTCAGAAGAGCATGTAACGTACAATGACTACATAATGGTACGATATGACAGGGACTGGTATCATGCCAATTTATTGTAGGGTATACAGTATAGCTGGTAATTTATACAGGTGAAAATAGGTGTCATTTTCATTAAAAATGTAGTACATCTTAACAAATCAAAACTTTGCAATCTGAATGTAAAAAGGACATCAAATACACACTTGACCCATTATTTTACAAATTAAACTTTTGTGATCACATTAATGTATTGTGAAATAGGGAAAATACCATCCCTGTGACAGTGATAATCTATATAGTATTTCTAAAGGAAAGAAAACCCAGCATTTGTATGTAATCCCTGCAAAAATAGTAATCAATGCAATATTCCCTGGAATAATAATCATTTGTTCGTTATATTTCTAAAAGAAAGGATACCCAGCATTTGTATGTAATACACTGTAACCAGGATGATGTCTAATTAATTCTGTACCAGTAGAAAGTTTATTGCACTTAAACATCAAAATTTTTACTAGCGATTAAAGATGGTTGATTTGAATCTTGAAGGGAATGGGTCCGACAGTTAAATGAAGAAATAACAAGTTCACAAGAGAAGAAGCTAAAAGTATGATTGCACTAATATTTCAAGTTAATAGAAAACTGCTGCTGCTGCTGAAAAGTACTATACACTACTAATACACTACCGAAATAGTCCGATTATAATGATGTACACTGTACAACAGTGGTATACACTTACTGTACGGAACTTTACACTGTACAACAGTGGTATACACTTACTGTACAGTAACTTACACTGTACAACAGTGGTATACACTTACTGTACAGTACTTTACACTGTACAACAGTGTTATACACTTACTGTACGGTACTTTACACTGTACAACTTTACACTGTACAACAGTGGTATACACTTACTGTACAGTACTTTACACTGTACAACAGTGGTATACACTTACTGTACGGTACTTTACACTGTACAACAGTGGTATACACTTACTGTACGGTACTTTACACTGTACAACAGTGGTATACACTTACTGTACGGTACTTTACACTGTACAACAGTGGTATACACTTACTGTACGGTACTTTACACTGTACAACAGTGTACACTTTACACTGTATACACTTACTACACTTACTGTACAACAGTGTACAACAGTGGTATACACTTACTGTACAGTACTTTACACTGTACAACAGTGGTATACACTTACTGTACGGTACTTTACACTGTACAACAGTGGTATACACTTACTGTACGGTACTTTACACTGTACAACAGTGGTATACACTTACTGTACACTTTTACACTGTACAACAGTGGTATACACTTACTGTACAACAGTGTGGTATACACTTACTGTACGGTACTTTACACTGTACAACAGTGGTATACACTTACTGTACAGTACTTTACACTGTACAACAGTGGTATACACTTACTGTACGGTACTTTACACTGTACAACAGTGGTATACACTTACTGTACGGTACTTTACACTGTACAACAGTGGTATACACTTACTGTACAGTACTTTACACTGTACAACAGTGGTATACACTTACTGTACAGTAACTTACACTGTACAACAGTGGTATACACTTACTGTACGGTACTTTACACTGTACAACAGTGGTATACACTTACTGTACGGTACTTTACACTGTACAACAGTGGTATACACTTACTGTACGGTACTTTACACTGTACAACAGTGGTATACACTTACTGTACGGTACTTTACACTGTACAACAGTGGTATACACTTACTGTACGGTACTTTACACTGTACAACAGTGGTATACACTTACTGTACGGAACTTTACACTGTACAACAGTGGTATACACTTACTGTACGGTACTTTACACTGTACAACAGTGGTATACACTTACTGTACGGTACTTTACACTGTACAACAGTGGTATACACTTACTGTACAGTAACTTACACTGTACAACAGTGGTATACACTAGTGTAAAACACTGCTTTACAGTAATGATGATGTATGATTCACAGATCTTCAGTAATAAACACTACATTGTAATTCTACAAACAGAATTTGCAATTCCTCTGATTAAGATTGAAAGATTTAGCACATCTACATACACTCTCCTGACACCTCACAGGAAGATGTCACCTTATTAAAAAATGATGCTAGCAGTGAAGGTGTGAGAATTATTACAGATGTGACCGTTGCGTCTTTATCTGATGTTGTCATATTTTCATTATGATATTTGACTACCAAAGTCAACTTGTTAAAACATTCTACCATAGTCTGACGACTTTAAACATTGCCTACAAATACTGGGCTACCAGTAGAGTTTAACAAAGAAGTGAGTGTAGAGAATAAAGTAAGTAATAAGTCAGCAACAGACAGAACAGATGAGGGAAGAAGACATCCCAGTATGCCCAACATCACATCCTCGTGACAGGAAAGGAATGAAACATGACAAAGTGTCCTATATTGTTGATCATTTGTAGCCTTGTGAGTAGCCCTGGGTTGGTTTAGGGTAGCCGGCCCCATATCCTTGTCCTGTCCCACGAGCATAGGGGTTAGAAGGACTAGCTGATCCAGGTGTGCCAGATGGAGAGCTAGTAGGGGCTCCAGCAGGTTGTGGTTGACCAGTGTAGCTCTGATATCCTCCCTGAAATCGAAAGATGCCAAAACCTTTACAGAAAGTGAACTGGAGGGGTCAAAGGGTGGAATCGATACTAGTAGCAGCTGATGATTCGTTTTTATTCAGAAAGCTGGAGACCAATTAGATAACTGAAAATGATAAAGGTCTCGGGTCAAATAAAGTGGGTTCTCTCTACGTATTCTGATTTCCCATTACACATCCACACTTATATCATTGATTTAGGTATGGTGATAACATTTTTTCTTGTTGCAAAATCTATAACTGTTTGAAAATCATTCATTGAAATGACTTAAAACAACTACAGGTCACAATAATTAAGTGTACCAAGTTTCAAACTAACTAGTCAAAAACTGAAAGAGCAGATATTTGAGCTAAAACATCAAGGACAGAAAAAAGTTATATTTATAGGCAATAGTGATATTCTAGTCAGCACCTTTTATAACATTAGAATTCTATATAACTTACTTATTTCTGTTCGCTGTACTATTACTTACCGGAGGTTGATTCCAAGGAGCACCCTGTGTCTGACCAGGTGCAACGCCCGGTTGAGGCATGGGTTGCTGACTGCCATACTGATAAGGGTAGGAACCTGATGGCTGAGAAAAGCCTGGCTGGCCAGGAATACCTTGAGCAGGTACTTGTTGAGGCTGCTGTGGACGTTGCTGTTGTCCAGGTCCCCCAGCTGCATAGCCTACAACACAACACATCAGTAACAACAAGGCAGTAGATGTTCATCTCATCAATATTTCATATTTTGGTACTTATATCAAATGACTTTGTCTCAAAAAGCCATTGTGTAGGTACATATTAACTCATTGTGTGGGTAATATTTACATGCCAAAATCATTCTTATTTATTGATGACCTTACAGCTGCACGTGTAGTTTACACATACCTGGAGCAACTTGTGGTATGTGTTGTTTGTAAATACCTAGAGTAAGGCATGTGTTGTCAATACATACATGGAACAACACGTGTTGTCAGTACATTCTGGGAACAACGTGTGTTGTCAATACATACTTGGAACAACATGTGTTGTCAATACATACTTGGAACAACATGTGTTGACAATACATAACATGTTATTATGTGTTGATAATATATTCCATGAGCTAAGCATTGTTTGTTTATACACACCAGGAGCTAAGCATGGTTTGTTTATACACACCAGGAGCTAAGCATTGTTTGTTTATACACACCAGGAGCTAAGCATGGTTTGTTTATACACACCAGGAGCTAAGCATGGTTTGTTTATACACACCAGGAGCTAAGCATGGTTTGTTTATACACACCAGGAGCTAAACATGGTTTGTTTATACACACCAGGAGCTAAGCATGTTTGTTTATACACACCAGAAGCTAAGAATGTGTTGTTTGTATGTACCAGGAGCTAAGAATGTGTTGTTTATACACACCAATAGCTAAGAATGTGTTGTTTGTATATACCTGGAGCAGCCTGTTGGTATGTGTTGTTTCCAGGCTGCTGGCTTGAGGCAGAGCTTGGGGATGCTCCTCCAGGGTAACCTGGCTGTGGGTTCTGGAAATTTGGTTGTCCAGGGTGTTGTTGTTGAGGGGTGGGGCCACCCTGGTACATCTGGTGCTGTGGTGATGGGTTCATGTGTGGCTGAGTGGCAGCCTGGGGAGGTTGGGGTGCCACAAAAGCTGAACTAGATGTGTTGGCATCGCTGGTGGCTGGTGTTGGTGCTTGTGGTTGCTGTTGTTGTTGCTGCTGCTGCTGTTGTTGCTGTTGTTGTTGCTGCTGCTGCTGTGCCTGTTGTTGTAGAAGTTGCTGGGCCTGTTGCTGAGCCTTAAGTTGGTTACTAGATGATGATCCAATACTAGATAAACTGTCTGGTGTCCCTGATCTGTCCTGACCTACAAAATCAACAACAAGCCAGGATGGACTTGAATGTAACAGCAGTCTGGCCAAAAGATTCAATACATTTTTCCAATAAAGCAAATCTGATAACTAAGTATTACTTTTTTCAGTAATTTTCACACAGGGCGAAATAGATGTGTGAAGTACACATGTCTCGTGTAATAATACTAAATTTCTACCCGCAGCATGAAAGGTAAATAATGTTAAGATAAAATTTTGAATGTAGATTTAAATTCTTTCTTTTCTCAAAATCAGACAGGATTTTCTGATAACTCATTTGCCATTTTGGCGAAGTCTTTAAATAAAAATTCGAAAGTTTAATGACCACAAGCCTCCAGAAAATTTAAACAAATAAAAACCAAATCAGAGCCTAACCTGTATATAATCTATACTACTAAATACCAAATTGTAGTTCTATATTGTGTTATATTCAAGCGTTAATGAGTGGAAACAGAATTACAATGGAATGATAGACAAGGGTAACTATATACCACTGACCACTGAATGACAGACAAGGGTAACTATATATACCACTGACCATTGAATGACAGACATGGGTAACTATATATACCACTGACCATTGAATGACAGACATGGGTAACTATATATACCACTGACCATTGAATGACAGACATGGGTAACTATATATACCACTGACCATTGAATGACAGACATGGGTAACTATATACCACTGACCACTGAATGACACACAAGGGTAACTATATACCACTGACCACTGAATGACACACAAGGGTAACTATATACCACTGACCACTGAATGACACACCAGGGTAACTATATATAACACTGACCAGTGAATGACACACAAGGGTAACTATATATACCACTGACCACTGAATGACACACCAGGGTAACTATATACCACTGACCACTGAATGACACACCAGGGTAACTATATATACCACTGACCACTGAATGACACACCAGGGTAACTATATATACCACTGACCACTGAATGACACACCAGGGTAACTATATACCACTGACCAGTGAATGACACACCAGGGTAACTATATATACCACTGACCACTGAATGACACACAAGGGTAACTATATACCACTGACCACTGAATGACACACCAGGGTAACTATATATACCACTGACCACTGAATGACACACAAGGGTAACTATATATACCACTGACCACTGAATGACACACCAGGGTAACTATATATACCACTGACCACTGAATGACACACAAGGGTAACTATATACCACTGACCACTGAATGACACACAAGGGTAACTATATACCACTGACCACTGAATGACACACCAGGGTAACTATATATACCACTGACCACTGAATGACACACAAGGGTAACTATATATACCACTGACCACTGAATGACACACCAGGGTAACTATATATACCACTGACCACTGAATGACACACAAGGGTAACTATATACCACTGACCACTGAATGACACACCAGGGTAACTATATACCACTGACCATAGAATTTACTTTTGAATTTTTCATTCAATATGACTTACTTACCAGATAGACCAAATGAAGACATGACTTTGTTCTGTTGGGATTCGTCTACTGATCGCTGCGAGGAGAGGGGGTCAAATTCCTTCCCCTGCTGAGCATTAACAGGCATTGATCCAGAAGCTGTCACTGTGGCCTGATTTCTCCCGCTATCTGTCACCATTGGCTCATCTTCACACAATTAATAGACAAATTACTAATTATGGCAAAACCCATATCAAAGCAACACATAAAGACATCATCCATATCACAGCAAGTCTAAATAGCAAAGACAACACTCACAGCAAGTCTTAATAGCAAAGACACCACTCACAGCAAGTCTTAATAGCAAAGACAACACTCACAATGAGTGTTAATAGCAAAGACAACATTCACAATGGGTATTAATAGCAAAGACAACACTTACAATGAGTGTTAATAGCAAAGACAACACTCACAATGGGTGTTAATAGCAAAGACAACACTCACAATGGGTGTTAATAGCAAAGACAACATTCACAATGGGTATTAATAGCAATGACAACACTCACAATGAGTGTTAATAGCAAAGACAACACTCACAATGAGTGTTAATAGCATTGACAACACTCACAATGGGTGTTAATAGCAAAGACAACACTCACAATGGGTGTTAATAGCAAAGACAACACTAACAATGGGTGTTAATAGCCATGACAATACTCACAATGGGTGTTAATAGCAATGACAACACTCACAATGGGTGTTAATAGCAATTACAACACTCACAATGGGTGTTAATAGCAATTACAACACTCACAATGGGTGTTAATAGCAAAGACAACACTCACAATGGGTGTTAATAGCAAAGACAACATTCACAATGGGTATTAATAGCAATGACAACACTCACAATGAGTGTTAATAGCAATGACAACACTCACAATGGGTGTTAATAACAATGACAACACTCACAATGGGTGTTAATAGCAAAGACAACATTCACAATGGGTATTAATAGCAATGACAACACTCACAATGAGTGTTAATAGCAATGACAACACTCACAATGGGTGTTAATAGCAAAGACAACACTCACAATGGGTGTTAATAGCAAAGACAACACTAACAATGGGTGTTAATAGCCATGACAATACTCACAATGGGTGTTAATAGCAATGACAACACTCACAATGGGTGTTAATAGCAATTACAACACTCACAATGAGTGTTCATAGCAAAGACAACACTCACAATGAGTGTTAATAGCAATGACAACACTCACAATGGGTGTTAATAGCAAAGACAACACTCACAATGAGTGTTAATAGCAATGACAACACTCACAATGGGTGTTAATAACAATGACAACACTCACAATGAGTGTTCATAGCAAAGACAACACTCACAATGAGTGTTAATAGCAAAGACAACACTCACAATGAGTGTTAATAGCAATGACAACACTCACAATGGGTGTTAATAACAATGACAACACTCACAATGGGTGTTAATAGCAAAGACAACACTCACAATGAGTGTTAATAGCAATGACAACACTCACAATGGGTGTTAATAACAATGACAACACTCACAATGAGTGTTCATAGCAAAGACAACACTCACAATGAGTGTTAATAGCAATGACAACACTCACAATGGGTGTTAATAGCAATGACAACACTTACAATGGGTGTTAATAGCAATGACAACACTCACAATGGGTGTTAATAGCAAAGACAACATTCACAATGGGTATTAATAGCAATGACAACACTCACAATGAGTGTTAATAGCAATGACAACACTCACAATGGGTGTTAATAACAATGACAACACTCACAATGGGTGTTAATAGCAAAGACAACATTCACAATGGGTATTAATAGCAATGACAACACTCACAATGAGTGTTAATAGCAATGACAACACTCACAATGGGTGTTAATAGCAAAGACAACACTCACAATGGGTGTTAATAGCAAAGACAACACTAACAATGGGTGTTAATAGCCATGACAATACTCACAATGGGTGTTAATAGCAATGACAACACTCACAATGGGTGTTAATAGCAATTACAACACTCACAATGAGTGTTCATAGCAAAGACAACACTCACAATGAGTGTTAATAGCAATGACAACACTCACAATGGGTGTTAATAGCAAAGACAACACTCACAATGAGTGTTAATAGCAATGACAACACTCACAATGGGTGTTAATAACAATGACAACACTCACAATGAGTGTTCATAGCAAAGACAACACTCACAATGAGTGTTAATAGCAAAGACAACACTCACAATGAGTGTTAATAGCAATGACAACACTCACAATGGGTGTTAATAACAATGACAACACTCACAATGGGTGTTAATAGCAAAGACAACACTCACAATGAGTGTTAATAGCAATGACAACACTCACAATGGGTGTTAATAACAATGACAACACTCACAATGAGTGTTCATAGCAAAGACAACACTCACAATGAGTGTTAATAGCAATGACAACACTCACAATGGGTGTTAATAGCAATGACAACACTTACAATGGGTGTTAATAGCAATGACAACACTCACAATGGGTGTTATTAGCAAAGACAACACTCACAATGGGTGTTAATAGCAAAGACAACATTCACAATGGGTATTAATAGCAATGACAACACTCACAATGAGTGTTAATAGCAATGACAACACTCACAATGGGTGTTAATAGCAAAGACAACACTCACAATGGGTGTTAATAGCAAAGACAACACTCACAATGAGTGTTAATAGCAATGACAACACTCACAATGGGTGTTAATAACAATGACAACACTCACAATGAGTGTTCATAGCAAAGACAACACTCACAATGAGTGTTAATAGCAAAGACAACACTCACAATGAGTGTTAATAGCAATGACAACACTCACAATGGGTGTTAATAACAATGACAACACTCACAATGGGTGTTAATAGCAAAGACAACACTCACAATGAGTGTTAATAGCAATGACAACACTCACAATGGGTGTTAATAACAATGACAACACTCACAATGAGTGTTCATAGCAAAGACAACACTCACAATGAGTGTTAATAGCAATGACAACACTCACAATGGGTGTTAATAGCAATGACAACACTTACAATGGGTGTTAATAGCAATGACAACACTCACAATGGGTGTTATTAGCAAAGACAACACTCACAATGGGTGTTAATAGCAAAGACAACATTCACAATGGGTATTAATAGCAATGACAACACTCACAATGAGTGTTAATAGCAATGACAACACTCACAATGAGTGTTAATAGCAAAGACAACACTCACAATGGGTGTTAATAGCAAAGACAACATTCACAATGGGTGTTAATAGCAATGACAACACTCATAATGGGTGTTAATAGCAATGACAACACTCACAATGAGCGTTAATAGCAATGACAACACTCACAATGAGTGTTAATAGCAAAGACAACACTCACAATGAGTCTTAATAGCAATGACAACAACCAATGAACTCTTTATCAAAGATGTAGCATGGATTGGGTTGCTGAGCTCCTTATCGCTGAGGCAGGATATCATGTGTCACTAAGCTCGTTATCACAGAGGCAGGATATCATGTGTCATTGAGCTCTTTATGACAGAGATAAAATAACATGCGTCATTGCCTTTTCATCTCACAGATTGAATTTCTTACTATTATTATGCTCTTAAAGAAATCTCATTTTAATATTCCTTTTTCTTAAAAATACTGAATAAATCAGTATTGTGATTACAATTCTAGGTTATAATTTACATACCCTTGACTGTTGCCTCGCCTGAACTTGTTATCTCCCCCTGTGGTTCTAGTCTGTCTAGTAGGTGGTTTACTGTGTCGCGAATATGCTGAAGTTCCTTCTTTATTAGTTTCACTTCATCTGTTTCTAAAGGTCGAGGTCGTCCATTCACTACAATTGAAGACAACAAAATCATACATATGTGAACAAAATTAAGAGCTTATAAAAGTTCTGCAATTTGAAGTGGAAAGCAATAAAATTATCATCAACTTACCAAACAATGTTATTTTTAAGATTCTACTGCATTGAATAGCGAATGTCAGGTCAGAGTCATCAAAGATCGTGATAAGGTCCTTATCTGAAACAGAAATATAATTACATATTTAATCACCATACTTCATAATATCACAGATACTGACATAAATATCAAACACATATAATCATCACACTAAACAATGTCACAGATACTGACATAAATATCAAACACATATAATCATCACACTAAACAATGTCACAGATACCGACCTACACATCACACAAACACATTTAATCATCACACTAAACAATGTCACAGATACTGACATAAATATCAGACAAACACATATAATCATCACACTAAACAATGTCACAGATACCGACCTACACATCACACAAACACATTTAATCGTCACACTAGACAATGTCACAGATACTGACCTAATCAGCACACAAACACATTTAATCGTCACACTAGACAATGTCACAGATACTCACCTAAACAGCACACAAACACATGTAATCGTCACACTAGACAATGTCACAGATACTGACCTAATCAGCACACAAACACATTTAATCGCCACACTAGACAATGTCACAGATACTGACCTACACATCACACAAACACATTTAATCGTCACACTAGACAATGTCACAGATACTGACCTAATCAGCACACAAACACATTTAATCATCACACTAGACAATGTCACAGATACTGACCTAAACAGCACACAAACACATTTAATCGTCACACTAGACAATGTCACAGATACCGACCTACACATCACACAAACACATTTAATCATCACACTAGACAATGTCACAGATACTCACCTAAACAGCACACAAACACATTTAATCATCACACTAGAAAATGTCACAGATAGTGACCTACACATCACACAAATACATTTAATCATCACACTACACAATTAACATGAAAGCTACCACAATGTTAAGTGAATTCGACAGACAGTATGTTTAGATGTAAGACTTTTGTACTGGGTTCTATAATAACTAATCTTTCTGACTTTGACAGACAGTATGTTTAGATGTAAGAGTTTTGTACTGGGCTCAATAATAGCTGATCTTTCTCACTTTGACAGACAGTATGTTTAAATGCAAGACTTTTCTACAGGGTTCTATAAAAGTTAATCTTTCTCACTTTGATTGACAGTATGTACGGAGGTAAGACTTTTGTACTGGGCTCTATAATAGTTGATCTTTCTCACTTTGACAAAGACTGTGATCCCCACGAACTATCTATATTTTGAGAATCCTTTATACATATATATAGCTACAAATATCTCTTACAAATGGAACTCATTGAAAAAATTAGAAATGCTATTCTGGGCTCTCCTGAAAAAATTCAACATAAGCGACTGTATAATACTTACCCTCATCCCTATATTTGATAGTGATATCATCAGTACTGGAGAGCCTGCCCCGGTACACTCTCTGCATCATAAGTAACAGCTCGTCGTAGGTGATATCCTCATTGTGTATGGGTATCCTCCGTATGTCCTCACCCAACTGCACTTTTATTATCAACTTCCCACTTAAATCCATCTTTTAAATGGTTTCACCAGCCTTGAAAAAGGAAATAAAACAATGTAACATTTAGTAGTACTAGATAAAATTTAAAAGATATTATCAATAATGCATTATAACAATCATACAAGTAACATTTCTGCTTTAGTCAAAGAAATTGTTGGTCCCACTGACTCCCATTCTGATCTGCAAGAGTTACTGCCCTTATTTCACTTTATCAATTAGTACAGCAATAAACTTGACAGTTGAGGGGGCCAACAATGACTGAATCTCTACTGTGTATCTTAAAATCACCCTCCTGATGAACCAGTCCACAAAATCTATTTAGGTCTATGTCATTTCATTCCTTCATCCTTCTTCTCACATGTGTACAATTGTAATTACCTATATAGAAGTAAATATTAATAAACAAAGATATTCTTATGGATTGTACAAAAGACAAACAACTTACAGTAATAGCACTTTTCAATACAAATTTATAATTAAATAAAGTAGAGGCAAACAAGGATTTGAATTCATCATATAGCTGTTTTTTCCTTCTAGAACTTGTCAGTGATTCCAAGGACGTACATTTTCAAACCTATATAGCTATAGGTTCCTTTTAGCTTTTGTTAAGGTGAAATTTCCTTTCAAAGTTCAAGGTTTTTTTATTCCCTCCTTAGACCTTTAACATGTATAACCAGAATTTGATGCCGCTTACAACTACAAAAGTAAGCTATCGGTCAGAAACTGAAAAAATTTATGATATTTATAAAATAGAAGATTGTACAAATCAGATACCAGCGTTTAGGAGACAAATGAGGAAAACCCCAAAGTGATTGAAAGAAACGTAAAAATCTGGATGAGGAGATGCACTAGCTCCGTAATTCAATCAATTTCCTAATTTTCATACATTTGGTAATTTTGGAATGTCATATACATGTGTATAAAATTTACAATGTAATGAAAATGATTTGTATGTGTGGAAACTCTAACTTATTAAAAACAAAAACAAAACAAAAAAAGTGAACAAAACCAATAAATAGCATATGGAAGAGTTTTGAACAGCTGGTTGCTGGAACAGCATAGATTGATAATTTATGACCCTTTGACTGAATAAAAAGCTATCTTGAGTAATCATGACAAAATGTCTTTTTAACCTTTGATGTATGTGGAAATAAAATCATACAAGTTTTAAATCAAATAAATTTAACTAACATGTGTATCAATTGTTAAAATGCATAGTGCCAAAAGCCTTTGAAAAAAACACACACAATTTTAACCAATCAAGATAAGAGTACATTGGTTCCCTGTTTAATTGATTTCAATTTTAAACTCATAAAGTTTAGTCACTTTATATAAATTAAAAATGCAAAATCTATTAAACGGGAGGTGCTGAAAGGTCCTGAACTGACATGAAACATTGTATTACAATATTTGGATGCACTTGTAATATTTGTCTGAATCTATATTTGAATGTTGATAAATTATAACATTTCCTTTAAGACGATATATGAACAATTTTAGCAGGCAATGGTAATTCGGACAATGGAACATAGGATCCGATATATTTCAGTAAACATCCAAGAAGATCGATCGTAATATAGACCTTATCAAGATTTATACTGTTAATTATCTCAGTACACACGTATACATATACATGAAGATTGGTCCTCAGTTGATTCAACGGTTCTTGTGTCAAAGCAGAGTTCGACCTGGCGTAGGTGGCCCTACCTGGTATCACGTGAGAGAATTTTGATTATTGATTCTGTTGCTTTCAATAATGTGTTTAAAAATCATACTTCAATTGCACGGACAATGTAATATCTGGAAGAACATACCAAGAATAATGTTTACGTGAACCTCCTGCTACCGGTTTCACCGAATTTTGTCACTGTCAGATGTGGCGGGATCGCTTAGATCATAAAGAAAAATTAATGCAAAATCTGCAATGTTCTTCTGTTTTTAAATATATAACGTATCTCCAGCTATTGTGAATGCTTATCAAGAATGGAAAAAAAGAGTACTTTACACAATTATCTAAAATTTGTAGATATATTTTTCAACATCCTAGGGGAATATAGGGTACGGTCTAAAATGGAAAACAGACGATGGCCACATATTCAGGAATTCTCTGACCGTCTAAAGTAACATTAACGGACATCAATCAGAAAGCATGAAGCTCTTTAATATATAAAGCCGCATAGTGCTTAAAAGAAAAAAATGCATTTAAATTAAGGATGATGACGATTAAAGACGGGGGTCTCCATTGCTTGGGTGTTTAATATGTTTGTAACAGCGACGGCTACTACTACAGGCCGAAACTTTGTCTGCAAAGTGATAATTTCATGCCTATTTTCACGTTTAATTATTAAATGTTTAATATCATGTTTTATTTCTAATGTTAATTAGATAAGTAGGCCGATACTATTTTCAGATAACTTTATTATCCAAAATGATGGAGGTCTGAAACATACAAAAAGTAACATTGTAAATAAAATCAACTATCTGTTGGTAAGACATAAGTAATAGACTAACAAGTAAATACATAATCCTCTATCCCTCCCCGAGTCATTTATAAGTATTTTAAATGACTGATTTAATGTTTTTGTCCTTGTGGGAAATATGGATGGAATAAGTCTATTACTGTTCATTGTCACTGAAAATGTGATATGCCTTAACACTGTTATTACATTGTGAGATCAAATTATGTATCAATTAACAGTAAATGTAACATACAAAGAAAATGAAATTAAAATGATAAGGTACTATTTGTACATTAATTAAAAAGTAGAAAAGTAGAACTGTCATTGGGCAGACTACCCTCCAGTTCGGGGATTATTCTGCCCCATTTAATGCTCATAATCACTAAGCCATTTTGGCTCTTGTCGTTGTCGATTAGGACGTCTTGGGGTAAGGTCAACGGATAGTTGCTCTGGTCTGTTTGTCACGATCCTCCTGGGTGTGACTGGTGTTGCAGGTGAGGTAGTTGGAGGATGTGGTGACGGCGGTAGCCTGGGCGATGCTGGAGAGGGAGACGAATTAACCATTTGTGGGGATCCGTCCAATGCCAAGGGTGTTTGCGGTTTAGATTGGACTGTATGAGACGTCCTATCCTGCACAGGAGGTGGACTGTTACTCAGATCTTGTGAAGCTGGTGCACGCTTACTGATCCCTTGTGGATTGATGTCCAGACTGGGCTTCAAAGGATTTGCCGGGACCACTGGAGTTCCGCTCGTCGGTGGTGTAAAGTTTGGAATGTCCCTTTTGAAGTAATGTTTCAAGTCCTGCTCTATGGATTGCTTTTCAGGGGGAGAATACACAGGTGTATACTTGCGTAGAAACTTTCGATTGCGAAGCGTGATTCTGCCCGACCCGTCGATACGTACGACGTATTGGTCATATTGGTGAACCTCTATAACAGTTCCGGTTTTATCCCATTTTCTCGGATATGGTCCAGTTTGGTTTTGAATCCTGACGAGGTCTCCAACTTTTAGTGGCAGCAGACGCTTCGTATGTTCAGCTAAGCGTTCGGCGGTCTTCATGTGTCTGATACGTAAAGCCTCTTCTCTCAGGGTAAGCGTATCACTCCATGTCTCGTGTGGCTTATAGCGGCCTGGTAAGATTGGGATGAAGTCTCGAATGGCCCGCCCAAAAACACACATTGCTGGCGATAATTTCGTATCCCTGTCTGGAGTGTTACGGTATTGCAGCACTGCACGCTGGAAGGAGTCTGTGTCCAATTCACCATTTGGACCAGTGTTGTTTGTGATCATGCGCTTCACAGTCTTCACGCCAACTTCTGCTCTACAATTGCTATGAGGAAAGGCTACAGAAGAAAGCCTGTGGTGCACACCCCATGTTTTTAGGAAATCTCTGGTTGTTGAAGCTGTAAATTCCGGGCCGCCATCAGAAGACAGTTCATCTGGTATTCCAAATGTGACGAATGTGCGGCGTAAGCAATCAACAAGGCCAGATGCGCCATCTTGTGCCCTTTCAACAATTGGCCAATTTGAGTATCTGTCTACAATCACCAGGTAATTGCCGCCTTTGTAGTGGAAAAAGTCGGCACAAACACACTGAAATGGATATAAGGGGTAGACAGATGGAGTTGGCGGGGCGCTGGGTTGGGATGGGGCATTTCTGTTGCAATGGTTGCATGAGTTTCTAAGCTTGGTGATGTCGTTGCATATGCCGGGCCAAAACACAGATGTTTCTGCTCTTGACATCATGGATGAAGTGCCTTGGTGGGCTGAGTGTAGCGCTGTCAGCACGTCTGTTCTCAATGAAGGTG